AGTTTTTGAAATACGGTAATAACCGATGACTTATGAATATATAATGGTTTTCCAAATTAAGTTAAACCCGCGCCGGTGCGCGGGTCAAGATCTAGTTAATAGTTAAAGACATTATATTTTATAAAATATATAACATATAATCATGGTCAGGCCCGTCTCAAATAAAAATTGGACCCTGAGATATAACAGATTTGTGTAACATTTGTATATTTTTTTATTAAAAAACAGACCCTAACTTAAGTTAAAAAAATTCAAAAACTAGAATGGCCCATGTGCAAATGCACCTCCAGTACAGAATTAAAGACGGGCCTGATCATGGTATAGGATGAATAGAATGGCATGTTTAGAAGGTTAGGTGGTGATTTAGTGGGTGGCTTAGAAGGATTATTAGTTAGTGTCTAATAAGAGAGATTTCTTTGAAAGAAATTGCATGGCATAACATTTCACCTTAGTTATAAATACGTAGAAAAGATCAGGTCACTGAGAAATTAGTTATGTATTGGCAGTGCCGTCTCAAATAAATTTTAGATCATATTCAAAAAAAAATTAACGATATATTTATGATTTAGTTAAAATTTTTAAAAGTTAATAACTATGTTTGAGGTTTTTTTTTTAAACTATAAGTTCTAATCTAGCAATATATCTATTTTTTCAAAAAAAATTATTGTAATTTATCTATATATTTTTAAAAAATTCTTAATTTTTTTTTTATTTTTTCCTTCTTTTTTTCTTATATTTGGGTCATGTTCGACTGCTCTACTTACATATGGTATTAGACGGTCCTCTGTATCGGTCATATGTATTTGATTAACATGCATGCATGTAGCAAAAACATGATGAAAACTATTTTGTGCTTAAGAAGTTATAATAAACGACAATTAATTTTCAAACGTGTCCAGCTCAAGTCGATACATATTAAAAGAAAAAATCTATTAATTCATGCAAGGCAATATATAGTTTGGAAGTCTCCCTTTAATTCACTCAATGAGAATATGATTAATCATACAGTTTTTGTTGGTTTAATTAGTACTATTGTTAATCAGTCCATTTTAGTTGGTTTAGTAATGCTCTCATATTCCTAGCTCTTTTAGATAATTGATTGGTTAGTATCGTTAATCAACCGGTTTTAGTTGGCATACTGGTTTAGTACCGCTCTCAGTCCTCCTTTTACATAAATGATCGGTTTAGACAAACACATAATTTCTTCATCGCTTAATTAAAACACTAGAACTTGACCCGCTCGCCCGAGCGGGTGTTTATTTTTATTTTTTTTATAAGTAAATTTGTGTTTATTTAAATGGTATATATATTTATAATTCAAAATGTAGGTGTTGGTGGTATTGAGATGGTGGTAGAGAAAAAAATATGTTGGTTGATATGTTCTTTGAGGTTTTAGGCGATAGAATAATAGTATATGCCGAATACTAATGCTTGGGTTCCTATATATATACGTGATATGAAACTTTAGGGTATAGTAAATATCTAAATTAACTTTGCAAGGCAGATCACTTATAATGAATTCAAAAAGTATACTTCCTATAGATTTATGGTCACATTTTCGGAATAGAAAAGCCATATAACAACCTTCGCAGGAAAAATCACGATTATTGAATTCAAAGAAAATATTTTATATAGATTTATTTTCATATATTTCAAATAGAGAAGATATATATTTTATTCCCGAATATCAAGGATGTCAATTGATAAGGAAATAATTTAATCTCCTAAGTTAATGGAAGATTGTTTCATTCTTAGAAATCATTTATTAGTTGGCTAGATTAGAGGAATTATTTTGACCCTAATTAAGAGAAAGTAGCTGGTTTTTAGCCACAATTGTTTGAGATTTGTAGTTAATTGGTAATATTAAATACGAAATCCTTTAGTTTGTATAGTTTATGTAGTTATTATTGTAAAAGTAGACTTTATAATGAAGTACACCATTAAAAAAGTACAAATAGAAACATATAAACGGGTCATGTGGCGTAATCTTTCAGCTATTTATTTATATTAATGCAGGTCAAACTTTTATTGTCGAAGAAGAAAGTATATAAACAGTAGTAGTGTGCAGTAATTGGGACATACTGTATAACTTTTCTAGAAACATATACTTACCTATATTTTCTCATGTTATTGTTGCTGCCGTGTTTTTAGGTAAATATCAGTTTTGGAAAATGCATTAATATGAACGAAAAAGACAAACAATATTAATGGTAAGTTTTTAATTATTTCAGTGGCATAAGGTTGTAATAAATTATAAGTTTAAGGGTAATTTTTTATTAGTATTTAAGTTTTAATAAGATAGATATATGTCTCATGCATGTACTCACAAACTAGGACTGGGCAAAAAAAACAGAACCCAAAAATCCGAACCGAATCCGACCCGATAAAAAGAAATCCGAACCCGACATAAGTACCGAATGGATCTTGTTTTACGGTATTTCGGGTTATGGGTATTACCCGAACCGAACCCGAACTTAAATGGATATCCGAAAGAACCCGAAACTTTAAAATTCCAAAAAAACTTGTATCATATCCAATCTAAATTTCTAATATGTTTCCAAAACAGATTAATATATTATTGAGTACCTACAANTGTTTCATTATGTATTATATTTCGTTCATACAAGGCTTTGGTTTGTCATTAATCATGATATGTTTAGTGTTGTCACATATAGTTCATTGACAAATCTTATATGGTTGATAGATGAGTTTCACAATATTATTTTGAAGGAGAACAATATGGTTTGTAGAAGCTAAATACACAAATTTAATAAAATGATTGAAAATATAGTAAGTTTAATTGAGTATAAATTAGTATTTTTAGAACCGATAACCCGATTAGTATCCGAAACCGAAACTATTTTGGGTTCAACCGGATCTTGGACATGTTATTAAACCCGAACCGAACCCGACTAAACCCGAACCGAATCCTACCCGAATTTTTATAATATCCGAATGGGGCTGAAATTCATGAACCCGAAAATCCGAAACCCGAAACCCGAATGAACCCGAACCGAAACCCGATTGGGACCCCGATTGCCCAGCCCTATCACAAACTAGTTCATACAAAAAAAAAAAAAAAAAAAAAAACTAGTTATGTATCGCTCATATGTAGGGGTGGGCACGAATCGAATATCCGGGTTTTTTAAGGTATTTGTGATTTGCTTCGAATGTTACGGATATCTAATTTTGGTATTTGCTTTGCTTCGAAAAAATACGGATATCCGGAAAAACGGATATCCAGAAAATAAATAGATATTTGCGGATATTTACGAATATTGACGGATATCTCATTCATTTTGATTGATACAAATAATCTTAAGATTTTGATACAAATTTGCTTTGCAAAAATATTTTTTTGCATGATATATAAAATAAAACTTAAAAGAACTAGTGAATTTATATATTTTGTAATTTTTTAAGCTTAAGTTACAATTATAATAACACAAAATTTAAGAAAAAAAATATAATTGTCATAATTTTCTTTCTTTCTTTTTATGTAATACTTTTATATAAGTAATAATTTGAATATAATTGTTCAAAATCATATGCTAGAGTAATAATTATATAATTTTATACATTTAAAATGTTAAATATAATCAAGATATACATATATTTATATATATTTACGGATCGGATCGGATATCCGCTTCCCAAAATTTTACTATTTGTGATTTGCTTCGATTTTAACGGATATTGAATTTTAGTATTTGCTTTGATTTGAAAGTTTACGGATATCCAGAATTTTCGGATCGAATCGAAACGAATAACGAATCGAATCAAATATAACGGATAAAATGCTCAGCCCTACTCATATGTACATTGATTAAAGTAATATGCATGTAGCAAAAACATAATAATATTATACAAATGCATGGTATTCTTTTGCGTGAATTTCTACTGGCTGGTTCAGTTCAATTGGAGCGAACATTATTTAGGATCTCTGTTATTATAAAATGAATCCCTTAGGTCTTAGTGATCATTAAAATACATCATTGTGAGAAAAGATAGGCAAAACAAAAAAAAATTACCCTCCCCACTGGCATCTGCATTTAGTAGGAAGGCCATGTACTTGATAAGTGAAAAGAGAGTGATGGTCCGAAATATGAAAAGCAAAATTTTATATAAACCTATGTTCCTTTAAGACAACCAAGAAGGGTGGATGATGATAGTTGATAGAAACCAAAAACGAGATATTATAAACTTACCAAGCAAGGAATTTTCATGTTAGGATCAAGTCTAATAGCAACTACAATAGACTTGAAATATTTCTCAATTGCTCTTAACTTGGTCAATGGTTTGGCACTTGTGAGATCTTCAACGCCTTGTATCCTTCACACCATGTTTGTTAAGTAAAGACTATCTTGCTTTAACATGTGCGAAGACCTGAAAATACATATAATTAGAAGTAATTAGGCAAATTATTATTTTTGGTTAAGTGAAAAGCTGGAACTACTTTTGGTTAGTTCAATATGGAATTAACAAACAAAAGCAAGCTAGTGGGACATGCCTTTGGTGTCCCCTAAAGAAAAAAAATAGCTTCATCCACGGAGCTAAAGCTCCCAGTATCTTAGTGTTTCCTTAATCCCCATGGCAATAGCTGCACTATGTGAGAAATTACTCAATGTGGCAAGTGGTATAAGCATATAATCCCTTTCCATATTATATATATGTTTGCACTTTGCATGACCACTACTCATTCTCTTGCAGGAGAAAGTTCATGTGGAAGCCACTTGCAGAACTAGCAGCACAAGAATAGCTTAATGAACTGAGACACCAATGGAGCTTTTACCGTGTATAGTTCTACATCTTCTGCAAGTGTAACAAATTTTCACATTGTAAAATCTTTTTTTAAAAGTATAACCTCCACTCTGATTTGTCCCAAATGAATGATCAAAATTGATGGGACACGCACAGATAAAAAAAACATACCAAGAATCAAGACAAGAAAATCAGAACTCTTGATTGATCAATCAAAAATATGTGCAACTTGGCAAGTAGAAACAGGTTTTGAATCGATTATGGTCATTAAACTCAACTGAGTTGCAACATACACAGAACTATAAAAAGCTCAGTAATACAAAGCTAGAAAACACTCTTAAGACAAAGATGGATTCCGACAACGACAAAAAAAAAGGACAAAGACTACTACGCTACAGATTCTTGTTTTGCCTTAGGCAAGAAAGTCTCCCACCATCCAGGCTCATACTTCGGGTACGGCGCCACCCAATTCTTAGGCTTATCGAACTCTAAAGTGGTCGGAGTAAACGCCAATGCTTCATCAAGAGAGTTAGCTTCAAAGGAATCAGCAAGAACTCGATCCAACCTCAACTTCATAAACCTGCGTCAAAACATATGTAAGAACCTTCGAACAAAGGATGTCACTTTGTAAAAAAGACAGAGACTTTAGGGATCTAACGTGATCCATGGACCATTGGTGGAGACAAGAGCTACAGCAGGACGACGAAGCCTCTGAGTGATTTTGGGGAACTTATCAAGGAACTTAGGCTCAATGAGGAGCCAAAAGTCTAACTCTTTTTCATTCTCTCCGTAGTAACGAAGACGTTCGAACAATTGCTCCTGAAAGTGTTCCTCTTCGTCAAGCATGAACTTTGCGTTGGCGACAAGGAAGTAGTACTTTGTTTTGCTCTCCTCTCCCTGCAAACAATCATTTCATTTAATCATAAACCGGAAGCGGTTGGGTTTGGTTTGATTACTGAGAAAGATAAGAGAGAGGAGCCAAACCTTGTTATCAGACTGTTGTTCAACGGAAGTGGCAGCGGTTTTGAAAGAGGAGGAGGAGGAGAAGTGTGATGATAGAGATAGAGGCTGCTGCGGAGAGAGATGGAGGTTCTTCGTTTGCTTGGGGAGAAGGGAAGAGGAGATGAGGGAGGGTTTAGGACGGTAAGCGACGGCGGTAGGCACCGCCACGCCTAATGCTCCGGTGAGGCTCCACATTTGATGAGTTGAGTGTTTAGTTTGATCGAGGCAGGAGGAATCTGGAAAAATCTTATCTTTTTATCTCTCATTCATCATCCTCTCTCTCTCTTTCTCAACAATTTCTTTTTAATTGATTAATGGGCCAGGCCCAATAAGAGTTATGGGAGCCCATGAGGAAGAAAGGAGGAAAGGTGTGCGACGACGACTCAAATGGCGATGGAGGCGGAGCTGAGATGCTGAAGATACAAGTAAGCGGGAAGGCGATCTTGTCCACTGTTCGTTGTCGGAGACAGGCAAGAGTAAACCCGATTTTTTCGAGTGTTCGTTGTCAGAGAGAGGCAAGTTATTACATGATTTGTTATTGTCTCTTAATTTGTAAGTTGGAAACGATTGATGGTTTCAGTGTTTTTTGATTTGATGCAGATGTCGACTTCTTCTACTTCCTTCGTGTTTGGTCCTTACAAGATTGATCCGCGTGAGGTGTTCTACGCAACTCCTCTCTCTTACGCCATGGTTAATCTCCGTCCTCTTCTTCCTGGTATGTCTCATTCCTCTCCAGTCCACTCATTTTAATGAACTTCTTCTTCTGACATTGTTGTTGTTCTTTTCAGGTCATGTTCTTGTCTGTCCAAGACGCCTTGTACCGCGCTTTACTGATCTCACAGCTGATGAGACTAGTGATCTCTGGCTTACTGCTCAGAAAGTTGGCTCTCGGATTGAGACTTTCCACAATGCTTCTTCTCTCACATTAGCCATCCAAGTAATTACTTTACAATTCATTCTTCATTGTGTGTGTGAATCTGAAAGGATCTGGATTGGAATGATTGCTGTAACTCTGGTTTCTTGATAATGTGTATAGGATGGTCCTCAGGCGGGACAGAGTGTTCCTCATGTGCACATTCACGTCTTGCCTCGTAAAGGTGGTGACTTTGAGAAGAACGATGAGATCTATGATGCTGTAAGTTTCTCTGTGTTTTGATCACTTCCCTTGGTTGGGGTTTTAGAAATGTCTTATGGTAGTGGTATCTTGTTGTAGATTGATGAGAAGGAGAAGGAACTGAAGCAGAAGCTTGATCTTGACAAAGACCGTGTTGATAGGAGCATTGAGGAGATGGCTAACGAGGCTTCACAGTACAGGGCTCTTTTCGATTGCTAGTTATAAAGCAAAGCTATGCATTGGCTTGCTTTGACCCTTAAATAAGACTATTGTGAGAATCTCCCTCAAGTTGAGGTTGATATTAGAGACTTCAATTCAAACTTGTAATCTCTTTCTTATGCCACAAAAACTGGAATTATCTAAGCGTTCTAGTTCTGGTTCTTATTGATATTAATGGAATCAACACTGACTATATTTTAAAAACCATCATGCCACAAGTCATTTGGCGAGTTGAGAGACAAAATTATTATTAAACTCATCTTATTAGATCTTGTTTCCACAACTTACATTAAATACTTGAACAGATCAAAAGGGCAGAGATGTATAAAAAGAATAATGTAGCATAAGATATGAACCAAACGGTAAGCTAAGAATCTTTTGTTGGTTCTCCCCCTGTACCTGGACCATCATCCTCGTCATGATAAATATTCTCAGCCATTTGCCATATCTGTAGTATATTGTCCTCAGCTACACTGGAAATAACCCAATCTTCACAAGGGTTCCACGAGAAATCTGTGACTTTGCTAGTGTGACCACCATGGATAAACAGCAGCTCCGGTGGGCCGTCCTCTGCATCCTCTGCTGTCTGTTCCTCGTTGATCCTGTCATAAAGAAACCATCAAACACAATAACTTCTTCATGAGGAAACAAGAGTATTCTATAGCCCAAGCAACAAAGTGTACTGCTCAAACCTGCTAACATCCCAAATCATAAGCCTTCTACCAAGGCAACATGAGGCTAAGATAGTCTCGTTGTTTGGATTCCAGCCAACTTGGAAAACCTCTTCCCTGGAATTCAAAGAAAATAATATCGGTTAGCAATGGTGTAGCATTTACTTGAGCTAAATACTTCTCAGTAAAATATAATATGTCTAAACGTAAAATGTTCTCACTCATGGCTATCAAATGTGTGAATAGCGCTGGTTAACTTCCGTAGATCGAATAATTTGACAGTCTTATCAGTTGACCCTGTTGCCACGATCCACTCATTAAATGGATTGAAGGCTAAGCAGTTAACCTGAGGCATTTAGAAAAATCAAACAATCAGAAAATACAGAGAAACAAGCTTGTAAACCAAAAAAAAACAGGTTACTAATGAGAACCCAAGCATACTAGCATTAGCATCAATGTTTTGTCTTAAAAGTCAGTTTAGTGCAAACTCACCTCCATGGAGTGAGCTTCCACAGATTGTACTGATTTACTAGTAGATTGAGAACGCAGATCCCATATATGAAGGTATTGATCATCCCCAGCGGATCCAAACAGGTGTTCATTTTTCATATGCCATGCAACATCTTCCACAACGCCTTCATGAGCCTAAAATTAAAACAACTAATCAGTACATTCATGGCCTTGACTAATTGCTTGCCTTCTGAATGAAGCAAAACAACAGTCAAAGAGGGACATGATGAATCCAAGCAAACCTTAAAGATCCGCTGAGCGTCAAGAGTCTGGCTTACAGGATTACCACTAATATCCCACAAACAAATCTGAGAGTCATCAGCTCCACTAAGCAAATGACCTTCCTTAAACTTACTCCAAGCCAGCCCATACCCTTCAGAGCTATGACCCCTTAGCCTCATATCAGGATTACAAACTCCATCAAGCGGTGGCTTCGAAGGGTGCTTACTGTAATCAAATAAATACACCTCCGAACTAACCGTCTTCGTAGCAATCATAAAAGGATTCTGAGGCATGTATCGAGCTCGATTCACCTCACCTTCATGAATCATCTGCTGTATAACTTGCACCTAAAACCCAAAAAAAAAGAGATCAACTTTCTTATAAATTCAACTCTCTAAAACACAAAAGTAATCAACTTTCTTATAAATTCAACTCTCTAAACAAACAAAAAAAGTAATCAACTTTCTTATACATTCAACTCTCTACAACGCAAAAAAAAAGTAATCAAATTTCTTATAAATTCAACTCTCCAAAACGCACAAAAGTAATCAACTTTCTTATAAATTCACTCTCTAAAACGCAAAAGTGATCGACTTTCTCATAATTCGACTCGAATAAACCCTAGAATTAACCTTAAAGTTCGTACCTTTCCGATGGAGCAACCAAACCCACCAAACTCGTCGCGATCGTCGTCGTATTGACGCGCCTCGCTCTCGGTGTCGTCAACGGGAAGCTGAACCTGAGCAATCATGAGGTAATTGGGTTCGTTGTCGGAAGTGTGGGTACCGAGGATCATCTTCTGGACGGAGTGATTTTGACCGGGAAGCTCCTCGCGTCCGGGGAGCCATTCGACGGTGAGGGAAGGCCATTCGAGGGCGTGTGTGATGACGAGATCGTAGAGGAAAGGAGTGTTCTTCTTCCAGATCTTGTATTCTTCGTTGATTATACGCTCCTCCTTCTCCCCTCGCAATTCCACGTCGTCGTTTTGCGCCATTTTAGGGTTTAGGGTTTTGTGTGTTTTCCCGCCACGAGGAGAATACAAAACCCCTAAATAAGTGAGTGATCTCTTCTTTTGTCGTCTCTGTATATATGTAGTATGGTTGGCAGAGAAGATGAGGATTAAGTAAAAGGAAAGAAATCTCGAAAAGCCCATTTAAAGGCCCAGATAATAGACTTGTATCTATGCCGAAGAAGATGAAGTAAAAGTTAAAAAAAGAAATGTAATGGGCTTATTTTTGAAGAGGCCCATTTAGTAGTTTCATATTACACTAACAGAAACTCAAAACTATGATTGTTTACCATATTCCTCTTAATAAAAAAGAGATCTAATGATTCAACAAAATTAAAACCTCAAGGTATCCTGGTGGTTTACCATATCCTCCTAGATTTTGAATATTATGTGTTATCTTGTCTAGGAGTGAGTTTGATGTCTAGAGTATGTGTCTATTGGGATATAAGCAAGTACCCTCATAGTTATCTTTGTCTAATCTTGTTATCTGTAAGACCTTATCTATTTTCTTGCTTTGGAATATTTGTATGAGAATCATAGGAGGGTATTTGAATGTTGCAGCTCAAGCAAAAGTTCCCAAGAGAAGTAGGCCACCCATTACGACTCAAGCTTTCAACACTGGAAAGTATTGGCCAGGAGGCTTCTTCCCCTATGTTTCCATTGCATTTGAGGTTACAGAGTCTCAGAAATTGGAGCATTTCCACGTCCCTCTGTTACTTTCACTACTTACCGTGGGAGCTAGAGCTGCTGCTGCTGCTGAGTCTTCAAGACATTTTTTTTATTGTACCGTTACTGGAACATCTATCAAGACTGCTATACAATTTTTAAAAATAAATCTTAATTTGTATCGAATAGGGAGAGAACTAGTTGTAGTCCACACCCCTGTCGTTGAGACACTAATGCCATATGTCCGTATCACATTTAACCACAATATGCATACGTATACTAACACACATGCATTGATGCATACTGAGATTAAAGGTCTAAAGAAGCCTTATTTATTGTGTTAGACTACTGATTACATCAGTGATTAGAATCTTCATAATCTACCAATTTTAAACATTTGCTCTCTCCTGACGTAACATACAAAATGCCATGAAAATCAATTCTCAGATTTCAGGAAATACTTTACCTGATCTCTTCAGCTGCTTACATGACATGTATTCTGCTTGCAATGTGGTCTGACTTTATACGGTGTTACTTGCTCCTTTATGAAACTGGAAGATGTTCCAATTAGTATATCTCCAGTTGCTCAAATAAGTATATACCTAAATGTATCCAGTTATCAATTACCTTTCCAGATCTCCTCAAAAATAACACGAGGGTAGACATCAATAGCAGAAACACAGATCCTAAGTTGGTAAAACGGTGATCACTAACGATTCATAGCTATAGTAAAAAACTAGCATTCTCTTCCATCGTGTGCATAGAAAATGAGAGGGAAGGATAAAAGTCTGCTCCACTCACATATCCACACGACTAAGGTTTGCTACTGCAAAACGAGGGAAGGATTTTTTTATTATATGCAAAAGTAGCCACTTTGCCTCTTGTACAATTTTAAAGAAGGGAATAAGAACACATGTGAGGTTAGTCAAATGTCACTGTCTAAGTGTCTATTGCAGCCAGCTAAACCCCCCAAGAAACGTTTTGACCATACATACATGTATGATGCATCTGTAATTATTGCTTACTAATTACATTATTTTATACCCCTCCCTATTTTACAAGTTAGCTTTGTCGTTAGGTGACAATGCTGCCATTAACATCCCACTTTTCATGTTGTCTGGAAACACCATGCGCTTAAGCCGCACAGCCTCCTCACCTTCGCTGTTCCAGTCCTAGACTGTTTTACTTCCCTTTGCCATCTAAAATAATAAGAAGAAGCAGTTTTTCAAGCAGGGGTTCCTTCCTCCTTCATTTCTTTATCTAATCCACTTATTTTTGTTTTCTCTTTCTTAACTTGTTCCTCCAAGGACAAGGGCTTCCTGCTTTCTTTATGTAGTTCACTTGTTTTTGATTTATCCTCTTCAGCTTTCTTCTTAGCTTCTGCCTCGAGTTGTTTTCCGTTTTCTTCATGCGCACGATTGAACAGTCTTACAAAGTTTAGAAGGGTAGACACCACTGCAATTACCATTTGTAAGATTCAAACATCTTTGAAGAACCTTGTTTCACATAAACTACATATATATATACACATCTGGTATATGCATACCTTGTTCAAATGGGCACTTAGCTGGGTCTTCACCGAAGTAGAGAATCAAGCCATCCACGTTTCGTCCCTGCGTTACATAAATTTAGTTATTCTGACCAAGCTCTCAATCAACGACAGAGAAGCAGGTAATATATCAAAATGCACACTGGATTATTATAAGTGACATACCACTCCGGAATAGAGTGAAGCCAAGGACCTGACTTCTGCTTCCGCATAAAGAAGGAACTCTTTCAGTATCTGTGAAACAAATAAAAGGACAAAGAATGCAATGGATCAGTTACCAAATGCCTAACTGTTTATGCAGCTGCATTGGTCAACATATTTGTTGCCTGTTAATTGTTATAAAGCAAATGCCAATCAAAATTTACTAGCCACATAATTCGGGATCACATGCCATACTGACTACACTACATAACCCTCTTTACTTTCTCATGAGACTTGATTGTTCTCGGTCTACGTTTCTAATGTACACTTCGCTCTGTACATATTTTCTGTTTCCTATGAGAAAAAGCCTTGAAGACGGAAGTATCGAATAGAGGTACCTTGTTAAAGTTGTATGAGATTGGGCCATCATTTTCGGACAAGGAGAGTTCTTGTACGACTTTCTCCAGTCCCTTGTTTATAGCTTGCATCTCCTCAGCCAAAAACTTCAGTTGAATCTGTACCAAAGTTCAGGAAATCAAAACACCGTTTTCAAGTTTCTTACCAAACTGCACATGAAATGTGAAAGCTAAGTACCTTTGTTGAAGGCTCCAGTGAGGATAAATCTTTCGTAAAATCTAAAACTTCTGGCATTTTCTCAGCAAGAATCTGTAGAGAACCCATCAGAACATAAGTTTCTCTTTATCTAGTGCATCCACATAGCTACAGAAGCATTATAGGAGCTTACCTTGCACAGATAATGCATCAGAGTCATACGGTTATTACGCGCCCGTGTTTCACTGAGTTTTGGCAGACTGTCCAGCTTAAACCCCACCGCGGCACCTAGGCAGAAAGCACTTTCAGCACAGGATAAAAGATAGAACCTAGAGTTTATGCGTTTCATTTTCAAACCTACCCCTAGCAGTCCCCTGGTTAAGGGCGTTTCCAAGGGACAAAACTGTCTGCATTATTCTTTTGAATTTTTCAGAATTCTTTATCTGATGAACAGAGGAACAACAGAGCATTTGTGAGATGAGTTTAATCACGTTGGGAGATCACGTATACGACTAGTTGAGTCTGACTTACCTGTTCTGCTGCGGAGTTCACAACACTTAGACTATTCTTGAGTTCTGAGATCTAAAGAAGTGTTTACTAGTGACCATTAGTACTGAAATGAAAGCTCCAGATAATCGTAATTAGTAGGGAATCAGTTTTCAAACCTGAGTACGGAACTGCATTTTGAATGAGAACACCCTGAGCTTTGTTTCCACTCTTGGGACTTTCATCATCTCTAAGAAGAACTGTCCAAAAAATATTCAAGAAGCATATATGGTGTTATCACTCAAATGGCTACTACTCCAATAAAAGCACAAAAGTTTTCCCAAGTTTTGTACCAGCTCGCATTTTCCAAGCTTTTCCGTGTCACCAGTGTAACCCTGCAAAACAAGCATAAAATGAAGATAAATCGAAGGAACATACAAAAAGGTGGATCACAGAACACCAAATTTTTTGTAGGGAATACTGCTTTTCGGAATGAAAACAGCAGAACATTGGTCAGGAGTGCACTTCTTATACCTTAAGTTGTTCCATTTCTTCTCTTGTTGGACAAAACTTAATTAGATTCTCAACCTGATCAGCATCAAGAGCCGAATCCTCCAGGTTAAGCACTGAGTACTGCCAATATGAGACAATTTAGCTTTTAATTGTCATTGACATTTTACCCGTTTAAACTGCCATCATTACAGAGCTTAATATTACCATCAAATCCTGCAGAGGTACTTTCACTTTTGAAAGCATAATTTCACAATTGTATGCTCGCCTGTGTTCAATCTGCAAGAAAGAGTTCCTCATAATATTCAGTATGTTCCCATAGACAAAACAATCATTTTAAGGGAAACGTATCAGATTTAATCAGAATCGACACAAACAAGAACACAAATCTTAAAGTATTAAACACTCAATTTACCAGTTGGACTTTCTCGGGTTTGGGTCCACGAGAGCTATTTAGTCTCGACTTTCCTGCCTCGTCTGGAGCAGATGAGAAAAGACTTTCAAGCTCTGTCATGTCAATCTCAGGAGCCCTAAATCAAGAGGTAAGAACTAATGGCTTAGAAATTCATACAAGAACCGAAAGCATTAGAAAAATAAGTAATCACAAAATGAACAATGCATACTTAGAAGCTTCGCTAGACATTTGTGTTTCCGCCCATAAGCTCCCATTAACAGCTCTTGTCAGTTTCAACCAGTGGTATGGCTTCAACTTTTTGGCTGTATTATTCTTTGCACGTAACATTCTCCCTTTTCCTGATGAAAGAGACCCACCTGGTAAAGCAGGTGTCGGAGGCACACTAGGACCAGAAGATGGGGATGACTTGGTTCCTAATTTTGGAGGAGGGGGTGGTGCTGATGGTGACCTCATCTGACCTAAAGGAGGTGGAGGTGGTGCTGACGGTGCCTTCATCTGACCTGGTGGAGGTGGTGGTGCGTTTGGAGGGAGAGGAGGGGCAGGAGGCCGTGGAGGTGAAGCAGAGTTCCCATGAGATTGTGGTATTGGGGGAGCTGGAGGAGGGGGAGGTGGAGGAGAGGCGGCGATAGCTGGTGCTAGTGGTGGCATAGGAGGGGAAACTCTGGTGACTGTATTCTGGTCTGAAAGCTGCATTGGAGGAGGGGGAGGAGGAGGTGGTGGTCGAGATAACCCATGTGTTTTGTCTGAGTCAGACCCTGGAGAGGCAGCGATAGCTGGTGCTAGGGGTGGTATAGGAGGGGGAACTCCAGCGAGTGTGTTCTGGTCTGAATGCTGCATTGGAGGAGGAGGGGGAGGTGGCGGTGCAGGTAACCCTTGTGTTTTGTCTAAGTTAGACACTGGAGGAGGTGACACCGCCGGTTGTCCAAGAGGTGAAGCAGTACAAAAAGAATCTAATGTCTCAGCTTGGGAAGGTTTGGCAGGACTAGCTGACAATGTAGAAGATGGCAGAACCGACGATGAATTTGTTATTTTAGAGGACTCCGGAGGAGCAACATCGGCTGCAGGAGGAACGGGAAGAGATGTTGGAGGCAGTGTCATGGGACGTTTCTCGTCTGGAGTTGTTTGGTGAAATGTAGAGCCAGCTAATGACACCCAGGAATTTCCCTGTGAAAGTGTTTCAGCCGGTTGGACAACAGAATGCTGCAACTTTTCTGACGGTTCAGAAGTAACAGTTGGAATTGGAGGGGGTGAAGGAGGAGGGGGAGGTGCTGCTATTGGAGCCAACGATGTCTTTGTAGGATGAGATGGTGACGGTGTCGAAGAAGAAAGTGATACCACTTTCCCATTGTTTTCTCGAGGGGGACTCGTCAGAATATTCTCCTCGGCCTTTTCAGAGAAGTCAGAACCGTCCGTAAAAGGTTTAACTGTTGCAGAATGATGCACAAGCTTTAGAGAAGGGGACTCTTGACCTGACAACTTTGTTGCATCCTGGCTATTTATCTGAAGAACAGAATGCGTATCTTCTGCTATGAACTTCTTGGCTGAACCAGTAGGTTGTTTTTCCGGTGAGTCCACCGTTTCAACCTCGGACACTGAAGACAATTTTAACTTTGCATTATTTTCCATTGCTGCCTGTTTCACCATATCACGGATACTTTTGGGGCTCAACCCTTGAGGTCTAGGGCTTAAAATCCCCTCTGGTCTTTCATGGGCAGCATTTGCAATAGCTAAATGCTGAAGCATGTTGCGAGTGGCATCTGTCTGATCAGCCCAGTCAACTTGATTGAAGAGCTCTTGAACTTTGGAAAAAACTTCTATTGGAAGACCATCCTTCTCTTCTAAGCACGAAAAATCCATCAAGTCAACAGACGAGGCAGAATCCATATCTGAGAAGAGAAGCTTCACGCAGAAAAATACTCTTTGTGAGTAGTAAGCTAAAAAGAAGTAGCTACATAACATGTAAACAGAGTATAAGTACATACCTCAACTCTGAACCCCTTTGGGAATTGTTCTTTAATATGCCATAATGTGTCAACTTCCTCACGGTTAAGCATCAAGATGTTTGATCTAATAAAAGCTGTATTGAAAACCAGTCGAAACATCATGACCTCTTTTACCAGGTCATCGTTCAAACTGAGGCACTCAATCACTATATCACCTTGAACATGACAATTGATGTCAATCTTGACTAGTTCACATTCTGCCTGCAAAACATACAACGTTCACATTTTGAAAGCAAACCAAAAAAGTCAATGAATTGCAAGAAAGAACAAAGAAAGCACAAAAACAAAATGTAACATAAGGCTTATCAATGATCAAAATACCTGCTTATAGACCCTAAGGTGTTTCCCTTTCTTGGGAGTGGAGTACAAAAGCTTAGGCTTCTTATCATCAACAAAAAGCGGATCCTGACCATACACCCGGAAAATTGGTCTACATCCACCTTGTCCACTTACGTCAGGAACAAATCTCAAAATAACACAATCCATAGTAAGAGCCCTATCCAGAGGAGGCCACTCCGACACCAAATTCCTTCTCGACACATACTGTAGATACCGAAGCTGAGAAGGAATCGGATTCAACGGCGAGAACAACTGCAAATGCTCACGAGGAGCCTGCTTGTAGATCATATCCAAAGTCTTGAACTCACCACTATACTGCTTCCTGTATATAAGCAGCGCAGCTAACATAAAAGCCAAAACAGGCCAAGCCCCTCGCTCGCAATGCATAAGTAACAAGTTACTTGGACCAAGCGAGAGCCAGCTCTCACTTGACCTAAGAAAATGATGCATGACTTCCACAGGAAGCAATGAACATCCTTCGTAGTGGCGAGGGTAATCCATAATGGTTAATCCGTGTTCTGATAAGACATCAGCCATCACGCTTTGAGTCCCCACTTCACGGAAATTGAAGACAAGAGAGGATGCGTCAGGGAAGTGTTCCTGTAGCTGGTTGACTACTCCCGCCATGTAGACTTTGTAATTCTCTTCTTCCCATGAATCAGAGGAGAAGCAACAGTCAAACACTGCAATTAAAGACAGAAAGACAGAATCTTTGTCTTTAGTGTCAATGTCTTAAAAGCTAATCATAATATAAAAAAATTAAAAAATTAAAAATCATATTTTTATCACAATCACGCTAAAGCTATACACTTTCTCGGAATTAGCAGATCACGGATCAAAACTGAACCTAGATCAAAGATAAAAACGACCTAATTTCACAGAAAGTAGCAATGAACATAGAAAGCTTCGATTTTTCAGACAGGGATTTTGAGAGAAACAGACCGAAAACTCTGTCGCAAATCTCGAGCAAACCATCTGGAGGTTTGCGGTAGAACAGTTTGCGAAACAAGGCCATTGAATTGAATAAAAACCCTAAACCCCCTTGTTCTCGTTTCTAAAATCGAAGAGAGCTTGTTGTGTGTTCCTGTTTGAGATTTTTTCCAGAGATTGAATCGAAAGTTGCCGTTTCTTTTTTGAATCTGTTAAGAAGAAGATGTGTAAAATGAAGGTGATTGTGTGTTGTATACAGGAAGAGGAGAAGGTCAGCTTCTTCTGGCGCGTTTTATTGACGACGTGGATCCCATCATGAGCCGCCATCTCTTTACCCGATTTGCCACGTGTCTTCTCATCTACGGACGAACCGGCATTAATCTCTGAGTCCGTTTTTATATTAATGGGCTTTTTAATTAGGCCCACATGAGTCGAGCATTATTTCTGGTCAGTTAGTTAATAAATCCTCTGGTTTATGATTGTTCTGGTTGTAGAGATCCTTGCCATGTCAACTGCTCTAATGGCATTGTAGATTCTTGTTTTCATACTTTTAAGCTGAATTAAAACGATGTTTCCGACCTATATTAACTCTTTTTAGTATAATTTTACTTAAAATAGTGTGTTTGGCTATTTTTATCCATAAAACTGAACTCTTATCAGTTAGTTAATAAACTACTTCGATGGGCATTCTGTTTCTCTTATTTTGGCGCACATTCAGGCGTCAGTTTTAAGGGGCTTAAGTCAGATGAATGATTCATTTTTTCCAAGGCATGACACTAGTTAATCACACTTTAGCAACATTAACTTGGTTATGAAGGATGCATGTTTTATTTGATAACTTGAAGATTTAAAAGAAATGGAAAATTGTGTTTATAATATGTAAGCAAGTAAGCAACTAGAATACAACACTTTATGTATGATGAACTACACATAATATTTAAGCAACTAGAATACAACACCTTTACTTTATTTGAGAAGAAGAGTTGTGCATTAAAAATGAGTCTCAAAAGGCAGAAGAAAGGAAAGAGTAGGTGTTTAAAAGACATCAATGTCAATGTCAATAGAATTCACAAGCACTCCATCATCTTCCCACTTTATATCTTTCGCATTCGGATCTTTCTCTATTATACGCAACGGTGTTTCCAATGGTGGAGGGCTCTGCAGTCACTTAACATATGTTAGCTAACAAACACAAGTCTGTGGACATAAGCTGATAATATTAAAGCTATATATGTTACCATGCCCCGGATGAGAGGCCAATTAATCCCGCGGAAGAAAGCATGCTGTTTTATCTCATTTGCCCCGCCTTTGGATCCTAACCGGCTGCTTGGATCTCTGTTTAGCAACATGTTGATCAACTGTCTACCTACAAGACTTACCTGCACCATTACATGATTAAATTAGTATTTTTTTTGTCACATGGGGGAGCTTTACATGTTGTTACAAGATAGGTAGCTCACAGGGATACTGCTGGGGAAGGTGAGATCTTTGTGCAAGATGTTGGCAAATGTCTTCTGCCTATTCTTACCCCTGAAAGGTGTACGACCATAAAGCATCTCATACAACAAGATACCTATCACAAACAAACATACATACATCAGCATATTAAAAACAGACTGTGACATAAGTTTTTATCATAATTAGGTACGATGGAAAGCAGATTATACCGAGTGCCCACCAATCAATAGCACTCGTATGACCAGAGCCCGTGATTATCTCCTGAAATGGTTAGGCATACTATGATTAGAATATCAAAAATCTGACACGCATAGAGAATGCAGCTACAAATGAAGATTTCAAGAGATAAAACACTCAAGTGCATCACCGTACAGGCGCAATGTATTCTTCAGTCCCTACAAAGGAGTTTGACTGGGCGTTTGGTTCTGCAACAAATGTAGGTAATGGTTGACTCTTGGATCTCCTTCGTTTGCTAGGTGCAGGTGGAATAATAAGCTGCACACGTTAATTCTCATAAGTATCATATTTCTTTATATACCAGTAAAAAAGTGATGTTAAATTTTAAAAAACAACAAATACCTGAGGTGTGCATGCCGTCATGAATGACAGATCAAAGTCTGCTAATACAATATGTCCATCCTTCATGAGCAGTATATTTTCAGGCTTCAAGTCTCGGTATACTATCCCTATTTATGGAACATATATACATATTTAAAACGAAACTGCTAGAAAGATTGAAGGAGGAAGAGACTACTCAAGGCGTGTGGCTAAATGTATAAACAAGAAATGTTTAGGTTAATAGAGACAAGGATTCATTTCACTATCTGTTACCTAAGCAGTGAAGATATTCTAAGCCAATAACGACCTCTGCTGCATAGAACCTGATGACAATAAGATTAATTAGAGTAACTCATACCAACATAGTGTCCCACTTTACTTATGACACCACATTGATATTTGCTTCTGACCAGTGGATGATCTTGTGTTAAACATTAGAGGAGAATAGGGTACCTTGCTGAATCTTCTGACAAAAATTTCATCGGTTGTCTGTCAAGCAGTGCAAACAACTCTCCACCAGGGCAGAAGTCTGTAATCAAACAAACATGCGTAGATGTCTGGGGCCAAAAAAGAACGCTTTAGTAATGAGAAGCAGGAGCTGAAATGATAAAAATAAAAATAGAAACATCTACCGACCTGAAAGGAAGCGTAGAGAGTGGGAAGGAAAGGATGATCTAGAAGGGAAATGATTTCTCTTTCTATGCATGCTCGATGAACCTGTATAAAGCTGCAAGTTGTCAATGAAGAGGTATAATACAGAATTTCAATTTTAGGATGGAAAGGTAAACTCATTATCCATCATATACCTTGTTACGATTCAACATCATGGTTTTCTCCATTGCCTTCATGGCATACAACTCACCCGTGCCTTTCAGTTCAACCAAATGGACACTAATAAAAGTAAAATCATGTAAGTATATACAAATTTAAAGGAGATAAAAAACAGTTTTGACTTCAAGTTTACAGTTATGAACACAGTGAACATAGTACCTGCCAGTATCACCAGAGCCCAACGGTTTTATTGGCTTGAAATGGTGTAGTCCCACTGTTTCTCCACTTGCTTGGATCTACAAAGGGAGACTATCGCAATCAAAACAGGATGACTTTGAAACAAAGTAAAAAAGCTTTTTGTGGTTTGATGAATACCTTCTGTATTGCTTTCCAGGAGGCACTCTCCTTTTTGTGAGGCAGAGGATAGACAGGCTTTGAGTGTGAAGCCCACAGGTCTTCAGGCCGCTAAAACACATCAAAAATCGATTGCATTTATACCTTTACATCTTTGTTAAGTAACAATGAGTTAATGTGACATACCATATTAGCATCTGGAAGTTCTCTGACAGCTTCATCTACATTTGTTGCTGTAGCTTTCACCTGAAACATAATCAATGTGATAGTCTCCTCTGATGGAAAATATTTTTTTTTTTTTAAATAGCGCAGAAGGAGATGAACCACGTACCAGTTTAGAACTCTGCAACTCTGTTCTCTCAGACAAACGATTTCGGAGAGGTTCCACATGATCACTTCCATCAAGCTGCACACCGATAAAGTATTGAAGCTCTCCCTGATGATAAAGAAAGTCATGTTGTCAGCAAAATACCACAGATTTCTCCAAGTATTTGAATCTAGTAACAATAATCTCATGGCGACCTTCTGATCACGCATAGGTTGCAAGTGGAATAAGTTCCAGAATTTCTTTCCTGCAAATGATTTAGAGGACTGATGAGCTGAAAACTTGCAAGAGAATTCTTTGAAAATGTTCATTATCAGATAACTTACCGCTCTTAGTGTAGTTTATCAATTGTACAGTTATCTCCCTTTGTTCTCTAATTGCATCTCTTATCTTCTGGACAGTCGCTTGATCTGTCTCTGGCCCCTGAAGAAACCTGAGGCCAGCAAAAAATCCGTAAATAAGGAAAACATAGCCAAGAAGACTGCAAAAGTAAGGAGGAATATTCACATACCGACAATTTCTTCCCAAAATTTCCTCACGTGTATACTCTGTCAGTTCAAGAAAGCTGTCTGATGCAAATATCTGCAGGGAAAACAGTTTGCATCATTACTTCAAGGTTATAAGCTCACCACATGTCCATGCTACCATAGCAGCACATGCATTTCATTTTTTAGTCTGAAATAAACATACAATGGGACAATCAGGAAGACGAGGATCACTGATGACGAAATTCTTTTCAATGCGCTCAAGAGTGGTAGCCAGATCAATCCCTTGGCGAATATCCCTTTCTCTTTCTAAACGGTCCCAGCTGTCCCTCGGCTCTATTACTTCTGTGCTCAACATCAATTCTTCAGGCTCCACACTTGGAATATCAAGTGATTTGCTCTTTGACCTGCACGTTGCATGAGGGTTAATTAAAAATCATTCAGGGCATATAAGCTTCAGAGTTAACTAACCAATCCATGTCAGAGAATACATTCTAAGACTTATCAAAACGTTGGCACTTCCATCACACTTTTGTGAGCGAAAGTTTGCAGAGAGTTTAATGATTTACTGTTTACGAGCTCACGTGGATATAGTGGTGAAAAAAACTCACTTGGATTGAGTAGAAACACGTCCAGGTGTTCTGGCTGACTTGGAGCCTTCATCTGGTTGTATAGCTTGCCTAACAGGTGTAGTAGTACTACCAGGCGTCACCATTACATCATTGCTCACAGATTCTCGCACTTGAGACTTGCGATGTCTTACTGTTTGCACGACTTCAGTGATGGAATCCAAAGCTTGCTCCTTCTGGCGAGCTGATACAAACAACAAGAATATGACAAGTTAACATTTTAAAGATCATCCCAAGTGATTTGTGTTCTTTGGCTTAACTATATAAGTGCTCTTATCACACAAAAGAAAAGTAATTCTATAGAGAGATGCAGGGAAGCAGAGACCATCATATCGGATCAGGGATTTCGAGAGTCCATTAGGCCTCAGTGCTTTATCGTTTACACCTTCTGTGTATTTGCTTACTTCAACCTGCATCCTGCAAACAAACAATCCAAAAGAAGAGGGAAGCGTGAGAAAGATTGATAGAGAAGACAGACGATTAATCAAGGGAAAAAACCAGAGAAGTACCCAATGAACTTGATGGTGTTGCCTTGGTCATCCTTTATAGGAGTGATTGTGAGAAGATTCCAGAAGGGAGTTCCGTCCTTCTTGTAGTTCAAGAGCCTTCCACAGTAACTCTTTCCATTCTTGACACAATCTCTGATTTTGGCAACCTCTTTCTGGTCTGTATCAGGCCCTTGCAGAAACCGGCTGCCATGGGTTTCAAAATCAATATTATGTTAAGAAGCAAATCGTGGATGAAGCTATAAAAACATATATGAGAGAAGGAGACGTACCAGTTTCTTCCAACAATCTCTTTGGAAGAATAACCAGTCATAGTGAAGAATCCACTACTTGCATACACTATGGGACAGTGTGGCTGTGTAGCATCAGAGACAACAAAGGTCTGCTGCAACGTGGAAAGAGCTGTTTTGAGCTCCTGTGACACTCTAGGGAAAGCCCCAGATTCAGAAGATGATGATTCTTCAGATGACCTCCTAGAGTTCTTGCTTCGGTCCACTTCACTGGACACCTTGAAACTAACACCATCTTCTCCCGAGTCCGGCTTAACAGCTGATAATCCCCACTCAGCAGTTCTCTCTGCTAACTTCGCAGTATCTTGAAACTCCATCCACTTACTGCTGCTTCCTTTTCCATCTCCATTGTAAGGCTTTGATGAAGAAGAAGATGATGATCCGTTTACCTCTTTACCATTAGAGGGGTTGAAAACCTCAAGGGATTTGCGTTCACTTAATGGCTCTAAATCGGTAAAGATAGACAGAGGGGCTCTTGGCCTCTCCATATCGTTTCTTTCTTTTGGAGAAACAAAGGCTACAAATAAAAAAACCAGACAAGTTCACCACACAGCTAGTTAGATAGATAGATAGATGAGGCTAAACACACCTGGTTTGGTTAAGGGAACATCCAATAAATGGCATTAATGTGTTTGAAAGCAATCAAAGAAACACGTTAAAGGAAGATGGTGAAGTAAATAATAGAAATAAAACAAGAAAAAAAATGAATACCAGACGTGTAGCTTTATCAGCTGCAACTCATGGATATATTAGTATATGGCTTTAAAAGGAGCAAAGACGATGAGAGTTGAAAAAAACGCACAACTGTATAATCAAGTTTCTGAGGCTGCAAATGTGCAATGAGGAGGATAGACATCGCTATCGTTTTATTAAAAACTCACATGGACCCATGAGTCCTTGTGATTGTGCAGGACCACACTCTATGTTTACCCTAAATACGTGCACTCTTGTTCATCATTCCCCCCTCTTATAATTTCTTCATCATTTTTGAATTTATTACACTCTCTTTCACATTTGCAATAATTGATTTGAAAAAACAGACAAACCGACACCCACCTGCTTTTCATTTAACTGTAATATCCAAAAAAGTGAAAACAATAAAGAGATTAGAAGGCAGTAAACTCACGAGTGTTGGAGTAGTACGCACATGCGCCATCTGATTAGACGGAAGATGAACACTCTGTGTATCGTCTTTCATACCAGGATGCTTTCGCAGACGACGAAACTACAATTTGTGTTGCGCTTGTTCACTCACTGTCTTTTTCAAAATAATGCTCGATAAATTAATTAAGGTGGACCCTCCATAAGCGAAAACCTCATTAGGGTGTTAATGGGCCTTTTCTTTTCCCGCTTAAAGCTCATTAATATATACTATAATGGGCCTTATTGATGAAGATGTATTAGGAGGGAGGAAAACCTATGCAAAAACCTCATCAGGATGTTAGTGGGCCTTTTTCTTCCTTAAAGCCCATTAATATCTTCAATAATGGGCTTTATTGTTATTAGTTAGGGAGAAGAGGGGAATAGAGAGAAAGAAACTGAAGCAAACAGAAAAAGAAAAAAGAACAATGGAAGGAGGCGGAAGTGGCGGCGGCGTTAGGCTTCATGTCGGAGGGTTAGGAGAAAGCGTAGGGAGAGACGATCTCATCAAGATCTTCTCTCCCATGGGTTCCGTAGAATCTGTAGAATTCGTCAGGACTAAAGGTCGCTCCTTTGCTTACATCGACTTCTCTCCAGCTTCAGAGAACTCACTCACTAAGCTCTTCTCCACTGTGAGCTGATTCGAACTCTACCTCCTCCTTATTTCTCTTTCCTTATTCTAAAGCTCTGATTTTTATTAACCCTGGATTCGATTTTGGTAGTATAATGGATGTAAGTGGAAAGGAGGGAAGCTGAGGCTGGAGAAAGCTAAAGAGCATTACATGGCTCGCTTGAAGAGGGAATGGGCAGAGTCAGCTTCTGTTTCTGCTGTGTCTAATGACAAAGTTAAAGCTCCAGAGAACTCAACTCCTTCTACTCACCTTAACATCTTCTTCCCCAGACTCAGAAAGGTAACAAAAAAAGCTCTTTTGTGTCATCTAAGGTAGTATTAACTTGGATTAGGAGATTAGGGTTGAGTTAACTTTGTGGCATGTAACATGATGTAGTAATAGTAGTAGTAGTAACTTGGAGTTGGAGATTAGGGTTTGAGATGTCTTTGATTTGGTGTAGGTGAAGGCTATGCCATTAAGTGGAACTGGTAAACATAAGTACAGTTTCCAGCGTGTTGCGGTGTCGTCTCTTCTTCCCAAGACCTTTTGTGATTGTGAAGAGCATTCTGCTTCTCTCACTCCTAAGGAAATTCATGCTCGTGATTTGGAAGCGCTTAATGTGGGGATAAATGATGAAGAGGTGAATATTATGAACTCGGTTATGAATAAGCTTCTTCAGAAAGATGGAAGCAGCATGAATAATGAGAAAGATGGAAGCAGCATGAATAATGAGAAAGATGAAAGCATCGACAATGAGAATGATAACATTTTGATCAATGTGGTATCTAATGGGAAGGATATGATGGACACAGAGCTGGATATCTTGTCAAGAAAACGGGTACTTGAAGCTAATAATTTTTTTAAAAGTTTTCCTTTGTTCAGTAGTGTGTCATCTACATACATTATCGCTGATCTGGCTCTTTTGTTTTAATCTTAACTCAGAAATCAATGCTCGATCAAACACCTGCAAGTGGAGAAGGACATAAAGACAACCACATTCATCCAAGCAAGAAGAGGCAATCAATCATCCCAGAGGGAAGTGGGAAACAGGAAGCTTCACGAGCTATTACTGAAAAGAAGAAACCTTCTAAAGTCGATCCGGATGAACCAAGCAGAACAACAGGTGTCAAGAGGTCGAATGACAATATTTCCTGGTCCCAAAAGTCTTCCTGGAAGTCACTTGTGGCCAGTGGAAACAGCGCTAACTTTAGCGTATCCAGCTTCTTGCCAGATGTTAGCTCCAGCAAAGCAGTACAACCTGCATCAGGCACTGATGTTGTAGGTTCAGACAACTCAGAGTCAGAAGATACTAACGATGTAGGTTCAGACAACTCAGAGTCAGAAGATAATGACGTTGTAGGTTCAGACGAGTCAGAGTCAGAAGATGGTGACGTTGTAGGTTCAGACCACTCAGAGCCAGAAGATGGTGGCGTTGTAGGTTCAGGCCACTCAGAGTCAGAAAATGGTGACTTTGTAGGTTCAGACAACTCAGAATCAGAAGATGGTGACGACGTTGTAGGTTCAGACCACTCAGAGCCAGAAAATGGTGATGTTGTAGGTTCAGACGACTCAGAGTCAGAAGATGGTGTTCTAGGTTCAGACAACTCAGAGCCAGAAGATGGTGACGAAGTTGTAGGTTCAGAAGACTCAGAGTCAGAAGATGGTGACGTTGTAGGTTCAGACCAATCAGAGCCAGTAGATGGTGACGTTGTAGGTTCAGACCACTCAGAGTCAGAAAATGGTGATGACGTTTTAGGTTCAGACGACTCAGAATCAGAAGATGGTGACGTTGTAGGTTCAGACCAATCAGAGCCAGAAGATGGTGACGTTGTAGGTTCAGACCACTCAGAGTCAGAAGATGGTGACGTTGTAGTTTCAGACCACTCAGCGCCAGAAGATACTGAAGTTGCTGACATAAATGTGGATGCTGAAACAGTGGAAAAGGATGAGAATGTAGTAGAGGATTTGAATGCAGAAAAGGAAAGCTTAGTCTTGGAGGATAGTGTGGATCATGATGCGGACGAAGAAGAGGCAGAGAAAGCACAATTGGAAGCTTCTAAGAAGTCAGGAGGAGGTTCATTATGGCTTCAGAAGGCTTCTTGGACTCAGCTGGTAAGGGACACGAATTCTTCATTCAGTATAACTCAACTCTTCCCGAATTTAGCTTCAGAGAAGAGTGAAGCAGCTAGTGTGAACAACAGTGTAGATGGCCAGTTCACATACTCTAACCAGAGTGGAAGTGGAATGAAACAAAGGGAAGACTCGAGTCACACCAATGGTGTTGAGGCTGCGGGAGTCCACGGGACTAGTAGTAATACCCCTCTGGGAATCTTAAAAGAGAATCAGCAGATTGCTAAGGCTAAGAATGCGAGTGGAGGAAGTAAATTGGTTGGGAAGAGGCCGATTAGGAGAGAGATTGGGTCAGGGGAGACTTGCGGTTTTATGAGAAGCGAGACTTCTGTGAATGAGTGGAAAAGGGCTAAGAAGGCGTTGAGTGAGCCCAGCAGAAAGAAGAAAAGTGAAGAGTGAGTTCCTCTGTAACAGATTATAGGCTCTTGAAATCATGTATTCCTCTGCAGTTTTTGTTTTCTTCATACATTTTGTTTTTAATTTAAGTTATTATTGACACTAGTATGGTGGTTGTATTGAAGCATTTTCCTTATAGATAAGACTTAAAAAGGCTGATTGATGAATTGAACTTGGACAACTAACGGTGGAAATGTTGGTAAAGCATGAATACACGAAAAACGTATAATGTTTAACCAAGTTCTTGATGGTAACTGAGAATGGCTGATAATGAAATGAAAAGAAGTCTAATGATAAAACTCAGATCACTATCGATCTTTGAGTTCCTGCTCGAACTGGCCGAGCTTCAGGCGTATAGGCTCCAAGAACTGCTTCATATCCAACCGAATCAGCTGCTTCAGTTGCTGGGAAAGCTCTTTGTCTTCGCTGAGGTTCACATTCACCTGCTCATTGCACAGAGTATATGCGTTTATAAGCATATAAAAACATCCTAACCATCCTTTCCCAAATCATATCAAAGACTCTCTACGAATAAACGTTACCTCAAGATCATCAAGCTCGCCGAATGAGAACTCAGGAATGTCGAGACTTGCCTTCACCGTCATCGTATTCTCCTCAAACGACCACTCTCCTGAGTAATCGCCAATCATTGTATACAGAAATAAGTTGTGTTATAACAAAGAAAACGAGAAGATAACTATCAACTATAAAACTCAAACGCAATTACATCTAACCTGGATTTCATGTCACGAGAACAGAGAAAAAAAATTCTGTTCATTTACCTCGAAAATTCTACATGTAAACTATCAGACTTTCCAAAATTAGAAAGGTGAAGTCAGTGAAGAGTATAATTACCTCGGACTTTGAGGGAAAGCTCGTAAGTATAGCCAACTCTTTTCTTGTTCCGAACTGTGACTAAAAAAGCCTAGCGAGTAACAACAACGTAGCATTATCATTAATCCGAGAACAAACATAGAGAAAAGTACCAAGATAAAAGAAAAAAAGGAGAAAGAACTCACATCTCCAACACATCTGCTAACATCTATAATCTCAGCTTTTCCAGAAGAGAATTGCAATAAACCCACTGACACCAGCAGCTCCTGCGAGCATAATTTCAAGTATAATCCCACATATTAACACATTAAATGAGAAAGGTCTTCAAAGAACACTGAAGGGTAAAGAAAGAAGACAACCTTTAATCGATCAGTGGCCCATTTAGTTAGATTCTTTTCCTCCCAAGTGCCAGCCTAAAGAAAACAAAGAGATGAGCTAAGGGAATGCAAAGGAAGGGAGATGGTATTAACAAATGAAAAGAAATAGCAAAACCTGATTCCAGAGGGAGCCGAGGGCAGGAGGAGCATTGGAAACGACGTCGTTGTTGGTGAGCTTCTGGGGCATAGGAGGAGGAGCTGCATCTGCTGTGGCTTCTCGCACCCAATACCTGTACGATCCATCTTTCTTCTTCTCCTCTTCTGGCTCCATGATTTTTTACTTTTCTCTCTCTTTCCTCACTCTCTCCTTCTCATTTAATTTAGGGTTCCTCCGATGTCTCCCGAACTTTCGAGTCACAGATCCAATTGTTCTATTATTTTCTTACGAATCTTTGTTATTTCGAGATTGGTTAAAAGATGCTGTTCTCGTTGTCCCCAATGGGCCCCACTTCTGACCCGACCACAAGTTACTAAGAAGGTTCTTCCAGTCTTGTCTATTAACTGTTCCTATCATCTTTTCACCAACTTTGTCACGTTTTAAATTTTGGCCATTGCATTAACCACTCATATAACACATTCCCACAATTCTTGCCCAATTGAGATTACAAAAAGAAGTGTTGTAAATTTCACTGTTCAAACTATGGGATTTTGTTTCTTCGTTTAGAGTTTAAGACATCAGTTGATTTTTGGCTTGGGAGCTCTTGGCTTGAAGACAGCGTAAAGAAGTATCAGAACCACGAGTATGGCAGGAACTGTTGTCATGTCCATTTCCACTTTCACCTTCCTCTCTTTTGAGCAGTGTATTGGGTGCAAAACCTCCACTGTTGCATTCACTTCTCTTACAAATCTGATATTAATGCAAGAAAGAAAAAAATGATTGATTAGCAAAACCATTCCCTTTGTTAAAACTGTAGCAGCAGGTGGAAAATGTGTAACTACTAACCCGCTTGTGGCTTCCTCTAAGGTATATAGAAATCTCATGGCATCCCCATAACGTGTTTCTCCCGCAATATTCGAAAGCTGTTAAAATTATGATATAAATATAGACATCATTTAAAGCCTTCCATCAATACAAAAGAAAGTAATAGATGTGAAACTTACTCGTCTCCAGAGGCTGACCACGTACTTGTACTTGTTCATCAGCTCACGCTCCCTCGATTTGAAGATCTTAAACGATTTTTCATCTTATTTCTGAGTCAAAGGATATGAACACTAGCATATAAAAACGAGCGGTCTATACAACCTATTCATTGTTCTAATTCATAACCTCTACTCTTCGGCGGGAATAAATATATATAAACAATATCCAAAGGATACTCGTTCGCTCCAGCCGCAGAAGATGAATCCCTGAGTTGACTGCTTGTATCGACTCTTCAAGCGCGGTAATCATATAGCTCCGGCCAATTGTGTCAGATTGAAACTGTGAAATCTCCCAACCTTGAGAAGTTGTGGAAAAGGGATTGCAACCCACTGACCATGTCCAGTCCTGTTACACACAACTTTTTTGTAAGATGCGAAGACAGACCATCAGCTTCTTCTTTTAGAAGAAGATTATAATTAGTTTTTGTGCTCGGTTTCACAAGCTTGCAGTAGGTACCAGCGAACGAAAAAAACTTCATATAATTACAAAGCAATTTAGTAATACTCTGTCAGCATAACTCTTATACCTCAATTGCACTTTCATGAGCTACACTGTAGACAAGATGAAGAGGAAGCAATCCAGCTAGATGTTCAGCAACAGAAGCCATGGCCGCTTTCACCGGGCTCCTATGTTACAAAGATAAGGAATAAGGAAAACCTTGTTCATGATGCACAAATCTAATTAGGCGTATCACTTAAAGTCTGCTAATAAAAAGCTGATAACATGTGTGTTAAAACCTTAGATCCCATAAAAGTGAACGACCATTGCATTGCAAATGGCTCTCCCACGAAGATGCCTCCGATTGAACAACAACAACCATATTTGAAAGCGCCTTTGCTTGATAATGCTTGTCAATCAGTAGCGGATCCCCATTGATGAGCCAAAAGATAGGGATTTCAAGAGTAGACCTGCTGTGGGCATGGCCTCCTGAGAACAAGGATAGCTCAGTGTCAATGCCAATCACGATGTATCCACACCAACCAGTATATGGGATCCAGTAACAATTAACTTGACGAAAATTGCAGTGTCTACACTAATACTATACGACAGGCATAAGGAACACCAAATCAATTTTTACTGGGAGCAAATAGTTTCTAGCGTAGCATTACAGAAAGACTTCTTTTATGAAAAGGTGCCCCAACAAAAGAAATTAAAGGTAACAACTTCAGAACAAAAATATTTATATAACAGAGAATAATTCGGTTGCATAGCTGACCTTTAAGTGAAGTGTGATCGTTCAGCCTCTGTAATTGGTACTGGAGGATTGATGAATCGAGGTATGAACGAACTGTCTTCCGGTAAGTTCCATTGACAAGCAATAGAGGGACAGCAGCTGCCCTTCGGGCTACTGAAAACGCCATAGCCAAGGCAGGATCCTCAGATAGTGTTAACCTATCACAATATATATCGACATTTCATTATAGCTCGAAGGTGCATTTAGACATAAGAGGAAAAGAAAGATGACATAAAACTGCAAAATATATTTCTCTTTTTAGGTGCCAAGACAATCTGTAGTTCTAAGTTCTAACATATCAAAAATAGGGTCAGAAAGATCAAGCCTAATGGTAATAAGTTATACAGGCGGTTGTAAAGCTTATTTTCAGGACTAGACGGATTTCAGTGCATACATATGTTGGCTGAACATAGGTTTCTGAGAAGGTAACAGCAGTGAAGAAAGTCCATCCATGAGGGCCTTGAGATCAACTGGCAGCTGTTTGATCTGTCGAACTTTCTACACAAAATAAAATAATAGGGTGAGAACCTCTTTTCAGCATCAATAGAAATTACACTGAAATACTCAGGCAATGTTACTGGTAGGATGAATCAAATATGCTTAGTAGCAATAGTATTTCATTCTCAAACATGAATCTCATAACATCTCGAAAGAAAATGACAATATTTTCTATAATCTTACGTTTCGGTCATCTCAAAAAGCTCTTTATCCTCGTGACTTTAGATCATACGATTAATACATTTTCACCAAAATATGCTTGACCTGATGGGAATTCTTTAAACCATTTGACATGAACATACCTCTTGTGTGATGAAGACAAGCTGAAAAGAGATCTTCTCATAATGATGAAATGCACCATCGGCAACTGAGGGTGATATTATATGTCTCATGGATCCCCAGAGAGTAGCACCTAAATGTGCAAGGAAAGTATCTCGTGCAACTGTGTAATTTTTGAACTCCTGTGCAGTCGACATCACGATGCAAGTGTCACTTTCTTATATAAACCGTAGAACTATGATTCCAATCCCCTTATTAAAAGAATCCTCAAACCAGCAAGGGGAAGCAGCGGAAGACAAAAAGCCTGGCATAGAATGGGAAATACCTCAAGTTCATCGCTAAACAAATTCCAGCTCTCCATTCGTTTGAGTGCCTCCATGGCTTTTCTCTGATGAACCTCATCATGTGCATCTCCTTCAAGTGACTGCAGTTCAGTTTTCAAATCCCGCATCCTCTCATCAAGTTCTAGGACACGAAAAGTTAAACGGTAAGGAAAAAGCACAACAAAAAAATTTGAAACAGTTACTCAAGAAAATTATATGGGCGCCTTGCGGATTCCTTTTTGAAATTACAGTAGAAAATAAGATCGTACATGAAAACTAAGATTCATAAAGCAGCTATAGAAAATAAAAGCACCTTCACAAAGAGCAAGCTTCACCTTCCTTCCCTTGCAGTGCTTAAAAGCAAATAGTTCATATACATCAATCTCCGCTAGAAGAATGTCAACAGCCTGATGATCTTTCTGAGGAAACAAGAGCAGTACTGAGAAGTGTGGGCGAAAATCATTCAACAAGGTAAGCGAAAACATAATTCAGAGATATTAGACGCAGGAACACATGTGCATTTTTCCCACAGACATGAGCCTTAAGGAAAATACAGCTCAAGAATCAAGATCCTTATTTAACAAGTAATATGTTAACCTCTATAGGTCATTAGAGAGCTAGTTTTCGTGGAGCTTTGTCCAAGATGATTCCTCAATATCAAGAATCCCTGAGTCCTATACCCAAATTCTATAATTGTCTAAGATGATCACTATCTCATGGGAAGCCTTCCCACTACTGTATTTCCCAACAGCGGTAAACTTAATGTTAACCAGCCTCTTAAAGTACTAGGGACTTGGTTGTTTCTACTTTATTTTTTACTCATATTTTTGTGTGTACTGGAGTAGAAATGGACCCTGAAAAACTCCAGTACTCCCAAGATAAAGCTCCTTTGATGAAATCCAATAGTTTCTTATTTTACCAATCAAAACATACCTCTCCAAATACAGCAAATTTATCCTGAATTGCAGCTTGAAGTTTTTCTTCTGCTTCATCTTCAGATATTTCTAGCAAGAAAAAAATCGTGAAAACAAAGTTAACGGAAATTCAGGAAAAGTTTTGTGGAAAGGAAAGAATGCCAAAGAATGACAGAGAGGTGTCCATAGATTACTAGAATTGTCCATTTAAAAGTAAGGTAAATAGTCAGGAGGTTTACAGCTTAGGAGCCACAACGCAATAGATTTTATTGCGAACAGTACCTGCAACTGCACCAATGGTTTTTCCCACATTTGGCAAACTAAGCTCCGTCCGCACTCCTTCCCCACCAACAGAAGGTCCCCATGAAAAAGGCCCAGCAGATAAATCGATGAATGCCCACCTGAAAGGAATTATTCACAAAATCATAAAAACGCTTTCTCACTTGTTGGCATGCAGAACATGGCGCTCTAAGCTAGAATGAAAAGTTAAATACATGTACACACATGCATTGAGAGCTTCAGAAAATCAACCTGCCCTTTCCGATCCAACTATCAGTCAGACATTCTGCGTTAAGATTGCTAATGTCTCCAGCTTTTAAGCCTTTTTCCAGAGAAATCTTCATATCTTCATTCTTCCCTTGAAGCAACTTGAAATTTCCATATGACAAAAATCCAAAGTTAATCACATGTACGGAAATCCATTTAAAATTAAAAAGTAGCTTCTGGGACCAGATAGTTTTGAGCCACAATAAAAGAAGATTGGTACCTGCAAAACCTTACTCTGAATGAGTTCGGCTGCATCTTTACCATGGGATAGCTGTTCCAATTTGTTAAGAGCATCCTGACATGCATTGTACCATTCGGCCTGAAAGCAAGACAACAATCAACACTGTAAGGCATAACGAAACGCCAGATTCTACAGCACAAAGGATCTGGTTCTCAAATATGAGTATAGTCACAGAAATAAACAGTGCCAAAATAAGTTTTTGCCATATCTTTACAAACATTTAGGCTAATAATGGGGAAAAAAAACTTAAGGGTGCAGCAAAAATAACAAACCGTATCAGTCTCCTCCGCATTTGTCCACGAAAATTTCAGCATTGGATGTTTTTGGTACAATGGCTTCCTCACCATATCAAATGCTACAACATACTCGCAGCAGTACCAAGTAAGAAACTGGAATGTATATCATCAATGAAAAATAACGTTGTTATTTGCCTTTCTATACCTAATATATTTTCTGAAGGCTTTCCAGACTGGATAAGTTTTTTTATATCGTCCTTGTTCTGCGGGAAAAAAATAAGAAATAGTCATATGAACTCGGAATTGACATACAAGCACTTGCAGAGAACTTAACCAAAGAGATCACTTTTTAAAGGACATTCTTCTTTTTGGTGAAGATTGCTAATTATGCAATTGTTTTGGAGGCATGCAGAGAATTGAGAGAACTAGAATCACCTCTTTCAGATAAGATATCTCTGAGTCTGAAAACCCTCTCCTGCAAAATCCAATTGTAAGTCTAGTATGATATTCGTCCGTAATATAATAATATGATACCCGACATAGCAGATGCTCACCGGTATCCATATCTGCCTTTTCTAATATCACGTTTGGGATTCAAAATAAACACGTTGTATGCATCCCCGAGATGAAAATATTCGACAAGGCTAGAGAAAATGAATTCCATCATCTCAACATCAACTTGCCTTAGAGCATTTTGCTCATCACTGTCACCAAGGATTAAAAAAAAAGATAATCACTTAGATATGACATAGAAAATGAGAACCAGACCACCACTTGGAAAAAGTTGCAAGTAGCTATCACGACTGAAATAAAGTTGCCAGAATCAATTTGTCTGCAGTCTCAGATCTCTCTGCATAAGAATTGACCAGACGCAAACTGAACTAAGAAACCTTTTGAAATGTATTACCTATTGGTAGAAACGTCATCCTTGCGTGCTAAAACATTAATGGCGCGTTCGATTACTGATGTAACCTTTTCCCCCATTTGTATAGCATGAACAGAAAAGCTGAGAAAATAAATAAATAAATAAATCCCAATTTAGCGTCTAGGTAAAACCAACACCACCACTGCTAATGAACCATCAAACAAAAGATGACTATACTTGTAGTTGAGGCGACTGATGATAGGAAGATGGTGTCTCAACTCCTTTTCAATGTTAGTCTTGTAAAAGGGATTGGGAACTTCTTTGGTTTGTGGAATTCGTGTGTGTTCAAACACGTGATCAAGTTTACTAAACCAACGCTCAAGTTCCTCAGGAAGGAGTTTAAAGTCTATGGGGAAAAAAACAAGTGATGACTCCAAATCTCAAAGAAAAGTAAGAACAAGCAGAGAATATGTAACTCACCTTGGTTTCCTTTTCCATCAAACCCAATGAAAATGAAATTAACAGGCACGGGGAGATAAACAGCATCAACTTCCATAAGCTCTAAGTAACTCGCAATGGTTCCCGCCTTTGTGTAATTCAACACACCGTAGTTCGTGTGGACTGAAGACTCCAGATCATCAAAATCTGATTAAACATCAAGTGTTATGAAAAAAGGTTAATAAGGTCACATGAAATCCAAAATCAAGCATATAAGAAAATAAAATTTACCGGTACGAAACACAGACTCGCTCCAAAACCTGCTCTTTTCCTTGAGATTGAACAATGAAAACACAGAAGACTTTCTACGTGGAGCTCCATATGACAGAGATGGCAAGAACTACAAAATCAATCGAACAGATCACGCAAACTCGATTGAGAATGGGAATTGCAAAGTTCGATGAACACATAATACAGATGGATCGGAGGAAGGGATCGTACCAGGATAGCAATAGAGATGGTGATTACGAGCTTGGAGACGGATCTGTTCCCAGCCCCGAATCTAGGCATCGTCTTCGCCTCGTAATCGTAGTAAGGGTTTTTGATCTTTCCTCCCGCAACAATTCCTACACTAGCCCAATGTAGCCACTGTTTTTTTTTCTCCCACAAAATGATTTTTTTCTTCTATTCTCAGTCTTCCATCAAGTCAAAAATAATAAATAAATTAGAGAAATTTAGTTAAATAAACAAAACTTAAAACTTAATATTTTAAATTTCAAATATACATACACAAGAATATTAATGTAATTGTGTAAATTTTACATATAAATGTACCAAATATTGTATTGGTTAATTAACAGATTTCAAGTTCAATCTCATAGTCTCATTCGAATTATATATATGTTAGGATCAAATTCGATTGATAATATTTGAGGTTCAAGCATATTTCATAATTTTGCGTAAAATCTATTTTATATCCAAATTTATTTTCATTTATATTTTGTTTTGGTTTAGACTTTAGTTATGGCTCGAATTCATGTCTTGTCAAATATTATATCAAAATAAGCATAAAATTGAGTATATGATTACTTGTTTAGGTTTTTGATTTCTATATTAAATATTAACTCAACTTTTTGAATTGTTTTGGTTATCCATTTGAATTCGATTAATAATATTTTAGGTTCCTATAAAATGTCATCTTATATGATTCATATGAGTAGTTCTACAATTCAAATTGGGTATTGTTTCTAGGTTTTCCGTTTCAGTTCAGGTCTAGGTTTCAGGTATTATGCTAGAACAAAAAGGATCAACTATTAATATGGTCATACTAATCAAACCATATCTAACACACGCATTAGGATACTAAAGATCGTTTATATTTGAGTGAAACTAGGATATACCATTTACAGTATAAGCTCTCTCAACGCTGACAAATAATGATGTGTTTCATTTTTATAAAGCTATATATAAGTTCCATAGACCACTAGAATTAAATACCTGTGGTGGCATATTTTGCGTAACATGGTGCAAACACCTTCAACAGAAGGAATATAACGATGGAGGATACTTGTCAACTAAGCGGTGACATAGTGTTAAGTATTAGCCACATTGTCTTTTAATGCCAGAGTTAGCAAAGAAGTTTGAGAGCTTGTTCCTTGGATGAGTTCCTGATTAGATCAAATTCTATCAAACTATGTCCTCAATAATGTTTTCCTTTTCAAGAACACTTACTTTAACTAATATCTAATTTAAAGAAAAAAATTCAAAACAAAAAAAAACTAATATCTAATTTATTTTCTTAGATGTATGGGGACGCTATCTTTTCCCCCATACAAAAGATGGCATATTCCAAACATAGTGACTAAAAGCATTTGTTTGAAAGAAAGATGCTGATATAGACAATGAAAAAGAATGACAGAAACAGGGCAAATCAAATGTGATCCTTTTTACTTCAACATCAAATAGCATTTTGCTTGGCTGTAGAGTAAGTCAAGACGTTTGGAGTTACTTATTGTTGCATTTGTGGAGATTTTGAGAGTGTGGTTGGTAAAAGTGACTGAAATCCAGAGTAAATAAATTGGATAAATTTAGAAGAAAAGAAAAATAACAGATAGAATTAAAAAAATTAAGAAAAGAATCAACAAAGAAAAAGAGATGCGAGAACGTAAACTTTTACTCATATTAGAACAGGCGTATTTTTTAAAAATCTTCTCAGCTGTATTCAGCTGAGTTTAAACTGGGAATTATTTATGATGAGTTTAACATGACTGGCAGTAATTAAATGTATTACAGAGTAAAATAAATTTATTTCAATAAGTGTCTCTACCATGTTCATCAGTGTGGATGTATCGATTATAAAAACTACCGACTTGATATGAACATAGAAAAAATTCAAAGAAAATTATAAAATGTACCGACTTGATATGAACGTAGAGATATTTCAAAGATATTATAAAATGTACCGACTTGATATGAACAGAGAAATATTTTCAAGAAAGACAAAAATACATACATCATAAAAATTGACGGGCCTATGATAGAAAAGCCCATATATCCGTTAAGAGCAAGGGACCACACAAAACCAAAAACATCGATGCTTACGTGTCTTTTTTTTGTCGTTTGTGTGTTGCGAAAAAACAGCGGTCTAACACTAACCCGTGCGTGGGTCGCTTCGGTGAGTGGAGGAGACAGTACAGCTAAGCTCAAAGCCCGAAAGCTTTGTTAAAGCTCATAGTTCAGTGTGTTTGTCTACCTTTTTTTCGTTTCACGAAGTCTCAGATCGGAGACCCTTGAGAGATGAGGTGGAGTCTCGTGGCGGCGATACTGACGGTGGCGGTGGTTTTCCCTAGAGCAAGTTCGATTGGAGCGAACTGGGGAACTCAGGCCTCGCACCCTCTTCCTCCAGATATAGTGGTGAGGATGCTGAGAGACAATAATATTCAGAAAGTGAAGCTCTTTGACGCTGAGTACGATACTCTCAGAGCTCTGGGAAACACCCACATCGAGGTTATGGTTGGTATACCCAATGAGATGCTAGCTACTCTAGCTTCAAGCCTCAAAGCCGCTGAGAAGTGGGTTGCTAAAAATGTTACTACTCACATCAAAACTGATAACGTCAACATCAGGTTCCCTTTTTTTTTTTTTTTTTTACTTTTTATTAACTTTCCTTTTTAGGGTTTTAGGGTTCCACATTTGTTACTGTACTAGTTAGGAACTGGAATCAAGGAGATTTGGGTTTGGATTCTTGTAGACTGTTAAAGTGGTTTGGATCTGTCTTTGTTTTAGATAAATTTATTTAAAGTTCATGTCTTTACTGTAGAATCAGACAACTGAGTTTGGTTCTGTTTTGTTCCTGTTGCGGTTGAGTTTGGATTCTCTAAGACAATAAAAGTAGTTTGATCTGTTTTTGTCTGAGATGAATCTACACAAAGCTCATGTCTTTACTGTAAAATCAGAGAACTGAAGTAGATAGCTAAGTTTGACCATCTGGTCTGGTTCGGTTTTGTTTTACTTGACTTGGATTCTTGTAGGCAGTTAAAGTAAGTTGGATATGTCTTTGTCTGAGAGAGATCTACACAAAGCCATTGTCTTTACTTTATAATCAGACTCCTGAAGTAGATAGCTAAGTTTGATCCTCTTGTTCGGTTTTGTTGCACTGATTTTGGATTCTCTTAGACAGTTAAGTAGGTTGACTCTGTCTTTCTCTGAGAGAAATCTACATAAAGCTCTTGTCTTTACTGTAGAATCAGACAACTGAAGTAGACAGCTGAGGTTGATTCTCTCGTTCGGTTTTGTTGCACTTGACTTTTAATTTTCTTAGACAGTAGAAGTAAGTTGGATTTGTCTTTGTCTGAGATACATCTACATAAAGGTCATACTGTATAATCAAACAACTGAAGTAGATAGCTAAGTTTGATCCTCTGCTTCTGTTTTGTTGCACAGGTACGTAGCTGTTGGTAACGAGCCTTTCCTGTCCACTTACAACGGAAGCTACCTCGCCACCACTTTCCCCGCCCTTAGAAACATCCAAATCGCCTTAATAAAAGCCGGTCTTCAAAACCAAGTCAAAGTCACTTGCCCCCTAAACGCCGACGTCTACGAAAGCTCCAACACTTTCCCCTCAGGAGGTGACTTCAGAGCCAACATCCACGACCTCATGATCACAATCGTCAAGTTCTTAAGCGACAACGGCGGCCCCTTCACCGTCAACATCTACCCTTTCATCAGTCTCTACAACGACGCCAACTTCCCTGTAGATTACGCCTTCTTCGACGGCAACTCACAGCCTGTCAGCGACGGTGGAACATTCTACTACAACATGTTCGACGCAAACTACGACACTCTAGTTCACGCCCTTGAGAAGAACGGCTTTGGAAACATGCCGATTATAGTCGGTGAGATTGGTTGGCCTACGGATGGAGACAAGAATGCAAACGTGGAGTTTGCTAGAAAGTTCAACCAAGGCTTCATGTCTCACATCTCAGGTGGTAAAGGCACTCCAAGAAGGCCTGGCCCAATAGACGCCTACCTATTCAGTCTTATAGACGAGGATGCTAAAAGTGTTCAGCCTGGTTACTTTGAGCGTCACTGGGGGATATTCACGTTTGATGGTTTGCCAAAATACGCATTGAACTTGGGAACAACTAATACAGGAGCTTTGATACAAGCCAAAGGTGTGAGGTATCTGCAGAAGAAGTGGTGTGTGATGAAGCCAAACGTGAGGTTGGATGATCCTCAGGTGGCACCTAGTGTTAGCTACGCGTGTAGCCTTGGGGATTGTACTAGTCTTGGTGTTGGGACGTCGTGTGGGAATCTAGATGGGAAGGAGAATATATCTTATGCGTTTAATAGTTACTATCAGATAAATGATCAGTTGGATACGGCGTGTAAGTTTCCGAATATATCAGAGGTGACTAAGACGGATCCTTCAACGGGGACATGCAGGTTTCCGATTATGATTGAGCCTTATTACGGTGGGGCTGTCCAGAGACAGGTTTTCTTCTTCCCACTGATGCTGGCTGTAGCTATTGTCATGGTCTCTATTTTTTGATGGTTTCTTGTCATGTTGTTGTAGCTCTATGTGTGATGTGTTTGTTTTTCTTGGATTCTAATTTCGACCTCCCAAGAACAAGTGAAAATTAGTGCTGTGTTCAGGGAACTATTTGTTTAATGTTTTGCACATTTGATATCTCTAAGCTCACAATGGATTAGGGACCCAAATGGGAGATAATAAGAAGTGTGACTGACTAATAAGAATGTGTGAGGAAATGAATGTAGAGAACCATGTGACTCTCTCCAAAAGCAGCTCTTCTGTCATAAATTATTTAAGGCAGGCTAGGAAAAGATGAAAAGCTGGCTTTGAACGTTACAACCATTTCCAAAAATGTAACTTACATTAGAATCAGACCCAAAATAGAAGTAAATATGTAATTTTCTTACAGGAATAAGGGTTGGATTAAAGGCACAATCACTCCCATTGTCCTTGGCCTCTCTGTTTTTTTTTCCTGGAGAGGGCTATGACGGATTCTTTGTACTAACAACAGGTTGTCAACAGTGGAGAGTATGTGGGAAACCTTGCAATGTTGGATCCAGAGATAAAGTTAGGAAAGCTAGAGAATGGTCTTATCGACAAACAGTACAATGTATGTGTGATTGGATTAAAGGTTTCTTGTAGTGGTGGAAAAATGAAAATGTGTTGATAATTATTTATAGATCGAAATAATAAATTGCCCGTTTCCTTATCAAAGGGAAAATTTCAATTTATAGTCAAATGATTTGATTTCCTTCTTATTTCTTTCCAAAAAATAATTAAAAAGGTTTCGTTTAAGAGATCTTTTAAATCTATTAAAAAAAACTGCCGCATTAAACTTTTTGTTTTTGATTTACAACTTTTTATATATTTTTTTTTGGTAAGTGGAATTTAATCGATTGCACTATTACGGGAAAAAATCATTTTTCTTTTTTGACAACGGGAAAAAATCATTTTATATCACTAGAAATCTGCAATTCGATATTAACATTTTAGGTAGAGCCTAGAAAAGGCAAAAGAAACTCAATTCAAAATGTGAATGCAATATGCCCATTGTATGCGTCTTCCTTATACTATAAGCATTAACGGGAAAAAATCATTTTATATCACTAGAAATCTGCAATTCGATATTAACATTTTAGGTAGAGCCTAGAAAAGGCAAAAGAAACTCAATTCAAAATGTGAATGCAATATGCCCATTGTATGCGTCTTCCTTATACTATAAGCATTAACCCTACACGCTTCACACGTGTCAGCCTCTCCTCCCACGAAAACCTCCTTCCTTATTTTTTTCCTATAAAAACAAACAGAATCCCTCTTTCTTATCTTACCAAACCTCAAAAGAAACAAAATATCTGAGCCGTAACCGTTAAGCAAGAAACAAAAAGATGACAACAACGACGGAGAAGAAAGAGATGAACGTTGTCAAGGGTCTCGACTTGGAGAGATACATGGGCCGTTGGTACGAGATTGCTTCTTTCCCTTCAAGGTTCCAACCCAAGAACGGTGTAGACACTCGCGCCACGTACACCCTTAACCCTGACGGCACGGTGCACGTTTTGAACGAGACGTGGGACGGAGGCAAGAGAGGTTTCATCCAAGGGTCAGCGTACAAAGCTGATCCAAAGAGCGATGAGGCTAAGCTTAAAGTCAAGTTCTTTGTTCCTCCTTTCCTTCCTGTGATTCCTGTCACGGGGGATTACTGGGTTTTGTATGTTGATCCTGAGTACCAGCATGCTGTTGTCGGACAGCCTTCAAGGAGTTATCTCTGGGTATGTCTTTTTGCCTTTTTTTGTCTTTGTGATTAATGATATCTAGAAGACGCTAGAGATGGATATTGATTTGAGTTATGTGGGTTGTGGTGTAGATACTGAGCAGGACGGCGCATGTGGAGGAAGAGAGGTACAAGCAGCTGGTGGAGAAGGCGGTGGAGGAAGGGTATGACGTCAGCAAGCTTCATAGGACTTCTCAGAGTGACACACCACCTGAGTCCAACGATGCTCCTGATGACACCAAGGGTGTTTGGTGGCTCAAATCTATCTTCGGCAAATAGATTATTACATGAACGCAAAAGACTTGTTTCACCTACCTTTAACTTCCTTTGTCTTTGTGATAAAGTACCCTTTTGTTTACTCTATAGTGATCATCGTTCTGCTTTTGTCCATTTTCAACATCTATTTGATAAAGTAACAAGAAACTGATAGAAAAGTTGAATACTATCACCATAAGAAAACATAAACCGAAGCAATCATATAATCTGGCAAAGACAATTGAAATTTGACATCATGTAATTGGATAACACGCGACACGACTCGAGTCTTATGGAATTTCAAAATGTATGCAAACTATAGATACGGAATGAAAATACATATAAAGATGAAAAGCAGTCTCCCCTTCCAGCAAAAGTGCGAGTTGAATATATATACCCAAGACATCCGGTGTTGACGCAGCTCACAGAATAGTACAGCACGAATTCGTTTTCTTCGCTTGCTTGTAAAACATCTGTTTCACCCAAAACAACCAAAAAACAGGTTCTCATGTCACATAATTCCTCTATTCATCTACCCCAAAAACAACATGTAACAGTTTCCAGCCTGTGGGTAGTTCTCCTATTTTATCTACAATACTTTCAAGTTTGCTCATGTCCTACCCTATCTACCGTCTTAACCAGCTATGCTCAGAGACCAATACAGTGGAGAAAGGAAAGCAATATAAGCTAGAATGGGACATGTAGAGGTTACCTGCGATGCCATGCTCAAATCTGAGCTCTTCTCCACTAGGCTGTCCAGCTTCTCACCACGGGCAAGAACGCTATCAATCGTTTTATGCTGTAATAAATAACAAATATTCACATTTTAGGAAGACGACAAACATCTACTCATATCTTCAAGACTTTCTAGTTCTGAAGTCACAGCAGAAGCGAAACTCATTTACAGAACATCACATAGTATTTGGGGACAGCATCTATACATATATGACCACTCTGCCGGTAAGTCTACAAAAACTTGGGAAAAGAGAGAGAAGAGCACTTACAAGGATAATCTTGGTCTCATCCAACTCCCTCTGTATTTTCAACAGCTTATCTGCCTCTGCTGGGTCCTGAAGATTTCACAAACACGGGCCAAGAACATAAACACTTAAGACTAAACCACTCAAACACAATCCACAATCAACTTGGTCATAAACACAGTGGGGCCAACAAAATTAGTTCCAAAGTAATCAATCAATTGGATTCTTATGTCCACCCAATTAAGCTTATATCTGGGAAAAATGAAAGAATACAATAGCACAAGTGAATTAAAAAAAACCTGAAACTTGGTAAGAGCTTCGGCTAAGTAAGGCCAAGGCTGAGTAGAATCTTCTTTAGCAGACTTCCAGCTCTCACCAAAACTCTTCTGGTACTCATCTATTACCTGACAAAACACACACAAATTGAACATCAAGCAAAATCATATCCTCTCCTCACCGATGAGAAACTAATATATATATGAATTATAACTGATTCTAAAGTTAAAAGAAACGTAAAATGAGACCTGATTGAGAAGAGAGAAGGCACTTCGAACAGGATAATGATCGTCCATGAATCCCACCGCACAAAGTCCATTCCTATTGTAAGCATGAACCTTGTACTCTATATTTATCCAAAAACAAACAAACACACGAACCCTAATTAATCACCCCCAGAAAAATCCAGGAGAATCTTAAAGATCTAGAATAATAACAAATCCTAATCATAAGCCAAATCGTTAGATCTAGAGGTAGAAGAAGAAGGAGAAGGAACCTTCGTGCTGAACAGACTGGCGCTGAGAAGGAGGTGTACGGCTAGCGACGGTGCGACCGACAAAGACGACGAACTCCTTGACGCTAGATCGCTGGAAATAGCCAAAGTGCGAGACGTCCGAGGCGTTCGCGAGGATCACGGGATCCGATGTTTCGGGAGCGGCCTTGAGAACAAGCAAGGCGGTGATCTTCATAGCTCCGGTGGATTAAAGGTTGCGTGGCAAGGAAGCGAGGAGAAGAGGCGTTGGAACCTGGAAAAGCGAAAGACCGGTGGTAAAAAATAAAAAAGGACAAAACTAAAGGTAAGAGGTGTCGGAAACAGACGCCATCTCATTACGTTCGTTTATATATTCCGTCTTTTTATTCGCTATCTACATCAGAATCATATTCTATAGGCAAATATCATATAATTATATTGCCCCATTATATAATCCAGTTTAAACATATATATATTTTTATATAATTCGTTTTTACAACATAAAATTGTATATTACAATTAATTCAGGTAGTGTAGTTTTCTCTCCGTTTTATTCCGGTTAGTTTGAATTATTATGCATCAATTTTCTACTTGTAAAAGGTCAGAATGCGAAACTTTTTGATATTCTAAAAAGCTGTGTTATCGACTATGGAATTGGATTATTGAAAAAATAGTATTGTCCAAAGTCCAATAACCTATTTTTCAAAAACAGAGGAGTGATTACATTAATGCAAATTGCACTCACTAACCAAAGAGAAAATAATCATAATTCATCACCTAACCAAAATTACACTCTCTCTTGTCTTTTGTCTTCCTATTTTTTTCTACTATCTTTCTCCAAAACTAATTTTCTTTGTTATTTCACAAATAATCCCTTACATTAATTTATGCAATTGACGTGTAGAAATAAAAGAAAAATCTGGAACATAAAGCGGCGGGGAATGGAATAGAGGAGAAAAAGAGATAAAAATAGGGGGGGGGGGGAATAAATAGCCATTATAAATGGGACATGAGCAAGTTACTTTTTGTTACCACGTTAAATTAACCATTTTCTTCACCATCTCTTCCTCTCTTCTTTTCCTTTCTCAACACATAATAACGAGAGGAAAACACAAGCAGAAGAAGAGATTTGATTTAATGTTCACATTTTTCACTGTAAGAGATCTCCTTTTACCTTTCTTTCTATAATGTATGACATGAATTCTTTAATGTATATTTAATCTAACTTTGCTTTTCATGATATTGGTGTACGTACATACAACATGCAGGATCAATCTATTTAAATAAAGATGCTGAGGTTTGTAATTCTTGTATCCCTTTTCCTACACTCTTGTGTTGCGGCTCCCAAGGCTCCTTCTGCTGCAGCGGCTGTTCCTGCCAAAAAATGGCTCACCCTTAACGGTATGTTTCCTTTTTACCTTTTTGTTTTTTTTTGACGGTGTATATTCAATGAAACTGCCCTTATTATTACATGATGATAACATGTGTTGTTTGTTTTTAAGAACTCATTCATACCTGTCTTTTCTTTGTTTGTCTTTCAGGTCAAGAGCCTGCAGTTGTGGCCAAAGGCGGTTTCTCGGGTCTTTTCCCGGAGTCAAGCGCCCCTGCAAATGACTTGGCTATTAGCACCAGCTCGCCTGGCCTCACAATGTTGTGCAACCTTCAGATGACAAAGGACGGTGTTGGCATTTGCTTGTCTGATATCAGGCTTGACAATGCTACCACCATCTCCACTCTCTTCCCCAAAGCCCAGAAGACCTACAAGGTCAATGGTCAGGACCTTAAAGGATGGTTTGCCCTTGACTACACAGCTGACACCATCTTCACCAATGTCTCTTGTATGTCTTCTCCTCTCTTTCCTCCCCTTTCATGCTTCCCACCACCACCGCCTTTTCATGTTTTGTGTCTTGCTGGACAGTGGTTCAGAACATCTTCTCTCGGCCCAGTATCTTCGACGGCCAGATGCCTATTTCCGCCGTGGAGGACGTACTAGGAACCAAGCCTCCCAAGTTCTGGTTGAGCGTTCAGGTTTCTCTTCTTACTCTCTTTGAAACAATATACATAACAAACCTCTGGAGGGTTCTTGTTAATTCACATACAAAATGTGCAGTATGATTCGTTCTACATGGAACACAAGCTGAGCGCAGCCGAGTACCTGAGAAGCCTTCGATTCCGTGGCTTTACTTACATCTCATCTCCGGAGATCGGTTTCTTGAAGAGCATCGGGAGAGATGCAGTCATGTCCAAGACAAAACTCATATTCGAGTTCAAAGACCCTGAAGCAATTGAACCCACCACCAGCAAGAAGTACAGCGAGCTTCTGCTGAACCTTGCAGCTATCAAGGCATTTGCTTCAGGCGTTGTTGTCCCCAAAGACTACATTTGGCCCATTGACTCAGCAAAGTACCTTAAGCCCGCCTCCACCATTGTGGCTGATGCCCACAAAGCCGGTCTAGAGGTCTATGCTTCTGGGTTTGCCAATGATATGCCCGCCAGCTATAACTACAGCTATGATCCCTCTGCTGAGTATCTCCAGTTTGTGGACAATGGCCAGTTCTCTGTTGATGGCTTCATCACCGACTTCCCGCCAACAGCATCACAAGCCATCAGTGAGATGACTTGCTTTTTTCATACAAATGTCTACTCAAAAACTTGATTACTAGGAGAAGCTTACGCCCCTACGTGTCTTGTATTCTTGCAGCTTGCTTTTCTCACCAAAAGGGAAATTTACCCAGAGCAGGCCATGCGTTGGTCATAACTCACAATGGAGCAAGTGGAGATTATCCAGGCTGCACAGACCTGGCTTATCAAAAAGCCGTGGAGGATGGAGCAGATGTGATCGACTGTTCTGTTCAGATGTCCAAAGATGGAATAGCTTTCTGCCATGATTCTGCAGACCTCACAGCAAGTACCACCGCCATGACCACGTTCATGACCCGAGCCACCAGCGTTCCTGAAATCCAGCCTACCAACGGCATTTTCTCTTTTGATCTCACTTGGGCTGAGATCCAGTCTCTGAAGCGTAAGAAACTGGTTTCTTTTCTGAAACTATCTCATTCTGAACTAAATTAATGAATCTGGGATGTCTGTGCCTACAGCTCAAATCCAGAGCCCCTTCTTAACTAAGGCGGGATTGCCGAGAAACCCAGCAAACAAGAATGCCGGGAAGTTCATAACTCTTGATGACTTCCTTAAGTTCAGCAAAGAAAAGGCAGTCACCGGAGTTCTTGTCAACATTCAGGCAAGCCTTTTTTTATTACAACTCTTAAATGCTCCTTTAACTAACTCCAAGCATCGCCACTAACGCCTTGTTTGTTGACAGAATGCTGCTTATTTAGCCTCAAAGAAAGGGTTAGGAATCGTAGAAGCAGTCAAGTCCGCTCTGACCAAATCCACACTCGACAAGCAATCAACCCAAAAGGTACTGATTCAGTCATATGACAGTTCAGTTCTGGCCGGTTTTGAGGCTGTCCCTCCCTACACTAGAGTCTTGACCATCGACAAGGAAATCGGAGATGCTCCAAAGCCATCCGTTGACGAAATTAAGAAGCATGCAGATGCTGTCAATCTCCAGAGAAGTTCTCTCGTCCCCATCACCGAAAGCTTTGCCGCAGGGAAGACCAACGTAGTGGAGGAAATGCACAAGGGGAATATCTCTGTTTATGTCTCGGTGCTAAGGAACGAGTATGTCTCCGTCGCTTTTGACTACTTCTCTGATCCTACGATAGAGTTTGCCACATTCATTGCAGGCAATGGTGTTGATGGAGTCGTCACGGAGTTCCCTGCCACTGCCACTAGATACTTAAGTAAGTTCTAAACCTCTAGAAGATCATGAAAGAACCATATACACATAACAAAGATAATGTTGATCATTTCATTATAACAAACAACGATATAACTGATGGATGCTTGACATTTAATGCAAAATGCAGGGAGTCCATGCTCAGATTTGAACAAAGAGCAGCCCTATGCCATCTTACCTGCAGAGCCTGGCTCTCTACTCTCCGTGGCAGCCAAGGAAGCACAGCCACCAGCTAGTGCCCCAAGCCCACCTCTTGACGCCAAAGACGTGATTGATCCTCCTCTGCCTCCCGTGGCAAACATGGTCGCCAACAATGCAACTGGTGCTACGCCCGATGCCTCTGGTCGTTCTGGCTCTATTGCCACCACTGCTAATCTCGGCCTTTCCTTGCTGGCAATACTGGCTACGGGACTCCTCTTTGCCACTGAATAAAAATTTATCACACCATTTAACTACATACGTTTGTAACATGCCCGCCCTCAGCATTTACCAAACTGACTCACATTGAGCTATTTACGTTTTACTCATTTTAACCAATGTATGCAGCAAAACAGTGATTTGTTACTATAGATCAAAGCTCTAACGAAACTTTGTTTGTTGCCATAGGAATGTTTCGTTAAGAGATTTTGAAACGTGATAATAGCTAGTACTCTATTTACGAACCTTTCTCCACCAAGCAGTCTCTACTTTTATAGTTGTTGATGTCTCCTCATGCTCTCATAGTAAACCTGCAAGAAGGCAAACACAAATGACTAAGTCTTCAAAAGGTCGTTTACAAAACAATACCAATTTACTACAGTAAAATACAATGCCTTGAGTATCTTTAAAATATCCTCGCTCTCTTTTTGAGGCGCTTAGTGTGAGAACAAAACTAAAAAAAACAATAATCTTTGACAAAAGTTACATCAAATACTATATGAGTATTCTCTCAAAGTAATCCTTATGCGTATTCCCTCCCTATTCTTACACAAGATAGCTCCTCACACACACTCTTCCTACTCTCCTAATTATACTTCAAGGCATTTAATCCTCCATCGTTACGCCTCAATTGATCCGTGGGATGCGAGAATCTCATGCATCCGTTTTAAGTATAAGAAGCTACATGGAGCAAAGAGAGCCAGTTCCTTGCTTTTTATGACTCTCAGCTACTTGTCCACCTCCTTTTCCTTGCCGGCCGCTCTGCTTTCACCTCTGAATCCAAATGGCCTTCAATTTTTGCAGAGGGCAGCGTCTCAGACTCCATTTTCTTTACTCCTGTGGTATCTTTCTCCGTGGGCATTGGAAGTTTGAATCGTTCACTACGTTTCTTGAGTTTCTCAACCGTGTCCAAGTGCCGATCTCCTGGCCCCTTCTCGCTTTTATCTTTGGTCTCTGCAAGGTCATGGCCACTTTTCTCTTCAGTTACTACCCGATTCTTGTCAATAGAGCCATGGACAGGTTCGCTAACTCGGCCATTAGTGCCTTTTTCTTTCTCTTGAAGTTTTGAAGAAGTGGCTGATGCCTTGACAGTGACAGCATCATCTCTCTCTTTGTGGCTTGCCCAACGCTCCATTTTAGTACGTCCTCTCTTTGTATCTTGTAGCTCATCACCAGATGCAGCATCCTCCTTGTGTCTTTTGGTGGCGTTAGGCTGCTGTGGGATCTCACTCCTGTGATTCCTTGCTGCGTTGTTACCTTTTGAACCCTGAAAGGAAGAAAGAAACATCAGTACTGACCGTGAGGCATATTAGTGACCAAACCAAGTCATATATTATTAGGTGAGGTTAGTCACGGAACAAATACTTCGCAAGGTCGAATGCATTCACGATAACCATGTTACGCTAAGTTTGCAAAACTTGGATGAGACTAATAAAAATAAGTTTATAGGCTGATATAGCATACCATCACTTCGGAACTGCCATTTTCTTCTCCTTGCTTACTCCTCACTGAATCTGCGCCCTCTCGTTGTTCTTTAATCTTTCGTTTAGAATCTTTATGTTTTCTATCATGCAATCGCTGGCCGTCCAAAGAATTAGTAACATTGTCACTTTTAGCACCTGTCCTCTCCTGCCTTGGTAATATCTCATTGTTAACAGTCTCGTCTGTGCGTGCAGAGACGTCTTCGTGTCCTCTATGATGGGAAGAAATTTCTTCACCAGTGTATTCCCTTCTCTTGCTCTGTTTACTATGCCTTGTTGTATCTTTTGTGAGATGCTCTTTGTCAGAAGCTTTGTAATCATCCTTCATCCTCGATGATCGGTCTTCTGAGCCTCTATGACCCCGTGTAGGTACCTGCCTCTCTCTTCCTCGCGCTGATAAGCCATCCTCCTGAGTTAATTTCAATTTTTCCATATCCTCGCGCTCTCTCAACCTGTCATTTCCATCTCTCTGCATATAGAAATCATCTCTGTGCCTGAGAGAACTGTGGTCGTCAAAATCATCTCTGTGCCTGAGAGAACTGTGGTCGTCAAAATCATCTCTGCTTTTATGTTGGACATCTCTCTTTTGATGGTCCAACCTTTCACTCCGTTCTCGTTTCAGGCGGCTGATTGATTCTCTTTGACAATATGAGATTTCATTCTTTTCAGAGCGGTGTCTTCTCAAGTATTCTTCATCCTTCCTCCTCTTGCCGATCTGATCATCCAGTTCATAACTATTTCTTAAGCCACCATCATCCAAATGCTTTCTCGATAGAACATGATCATCTATGTTGCGTAAGTCACTCTCTCTCATTTTACCCCTTTGCTTAGAGCCCAGATCCTCTTCACGATCCCTTTTTCTAAATTCTTCATCTACACCTCTTCTACTGAATAGGTCATCCTCTTTCCTGCGCCAGAACCCCCCATCAACACCTCGCTCTTTCCTTCTATCATAATCAACCTCCGTATGAGGATTTGAGTACTCCTTACCACCTTTGCTAGTCGCTCGAGTTCTTTCCATTTCTTTCCCTCGGTCTTGATTCTTTCTGCTCTGATGCTGTTCACTGTTATCGTGATGTTTCTTATTGCTAGCTGGTCGAGTAGAATGCTTATTTTGAATAACTTCTTCTTCTGCAATATCTTTCAATTGCTGATGATCTCTGTGACTTCCAGATCTTGCTTTGCTGTTTCCACTACTTCTCTCTGCCTTTGAAGCCCCTCCATCATCTTCTTGAGCTGCAGAACTCGTTTTACGCTCCTCCTCCATCTCAGCATCTATGCCAGCTACACCTCCCATCTCTTCACGATCAACACTTGATGATATTGTGCCTCTGTCTCCAACAGGAGACGACGATCGAAAACTATGGCCACTACCAGTGCTTCTAGAGATCTCATCGTCTTGCTTTTCGAGAAGCCTTTTACGAGGTTCATCCGGGGTTGGACTTCGTTCAGCAGATTCCCTGTCTGGTCTTCTGCTGTTCACGTATCCAGTCTCAACTGGAACATTTTCTCCAGGAAGGCTACTAACAGCCTCATCTGTGCCATTTTCACCCGAAGGCGCATCCTCGTGTGAATCCTGACATACAATCTGGCAACAAATCGATTTCAGTTAGTAACAGAAAGTATAGCATGCAAAGACGCCTCACCAGTAAAACTAAAATCAAGAGAGATTTGAGACATGTTCAACCTCAATGATAGCATCTAAATCACGCATTCGAGGAGCACGAGTATCAATGGATGACGGACGCTCGCCAGAACCTGTCTCCACAGGTATTGGTCTTCCAGGGGGCTGAAATAACCAAAACAAATCATCCAATATTCCCAAGCTTTAGATATTAATAAGAAATATGTACAGCCACGATGTTCCAGCTGTGATATACAATATAGTGTACCACGTATAGACAATGCTACTTTAACTGAGAGAAAAGGTAAGTAGGAAACATACAAGTGAAGGTCGAACATGAGCTGGTACTTTAGCTGAATCAACTTGAGCAGTATCTGATTTCACTAAATTTATAGAATCAACAGGAACACCCTGCGCTCCTGTTGCAGCAGCTAACTCTGGGGGCAGATCTGGATCATAACCCTATCATTATACAAGAGAATGATCAGGAATCAAATGTCACTCTTTTTGTATGTGATGTTGACAAAATATTGCCAGCCAGCGAAGAAAAATCAGCTTTTAAGTGCCATACTATAAGCCAAGATCCAGTATACCTGATCTGTTCGACCACTTTCATAAACACGTATCCTGCTTTGCATCGTAGTCTCTATACGGCGTTGATCCTATATGGAATTCGAAAAAGTTCTCCTTAGTACTTTCCATTCGCTGAAGTAAAAGATATAAATCACAGTTAATACTCACCAGCTGTTTGCAATAGTCTTTCCAGCTCTCCTCATTCATTCCAAAGTTGAAGTAGTCTGTGATATCAACTCCTTGATATCTCCAGGGCTTTTCCTCAAAAGTCTCTATGTCGACCTCAAATATCGTCCTAAAAACACGCAGGGGTAGATATATCAAATAAAAGAAAACGCAAGTCGATACTTGGTGCTTAAAAATAGATGTCAGAAGAAAAAATAAGTATACAAGATTGATATGCATAAGTAATGACATGTTCCTCAACTAATAAAAAAAATTTACTTGTGAGAAGGAAGAGTGAAGTCGAGTCCCCGCCCAGCTGTATTACTACCCCAAGCCTGGTGGAAGCCTTTCTGTGGAACAGAAGTATTCCTCATACCCATTGGACGCCAATCTCCTCTGCCACGACCAGCCACAGGACCAGGTGGACGAACTTGACCTGAAGAGGTCCCAGGAGTAGATGCAGCACCTCCAAGCATGGGAGCTGCCCCCGGTCTTACATACTGCAATACAAATATAATTTAAGTCAAGTCCATCAATACCCAAGCCTTATTTTTGTTTCTCATACAACTCTTAACTTTTGGCATGGCTAATAAAAAAAAAATATGATATCTTTGGCGAGATTTTGGCTTCATAAAGTTAATTAAGGTCCCAAGATATGTTCTTCTTACAGTCCTCTCTCTGGACAAGAACGTAACTAACTGGTGGTGGGATAGGATTGCGATATACAAAGAGGAAAGTGATTATGTTCTTTATCTTCCTTTCATATTCTTAATTTTTTTACGACTAAAAATACTCTGCATTTGATTTACTTAAAAAAAGAAAACAGAAGCAGACTCCAGTTTTGTCTGATCAACATACTCTGCATTTATATTCAGCTTTAGGTGTACAAGTACAAAGGTTTAAAATTTACGAAAAACAAAACTAGACCAAGACAAGAACCTACGCCACAAAGTAATACACTAACCAGTGGTGGCAACAATGTTGCATTGACACTGACCTTAAACTGAGAATGAAAGGGATGATAACCATGACTGCTATACACACCAGCTTTAATCGGCCCAACAACACCTCCTGGCCCACTCACCTTCCCATCTCCTCCTCCCTCTTTACCATCTCCTTCCACCCCTTGAAGACTACTACCATCTTCTCCCCAAAGCTGCTGATCCTCCATAGTTTGGTTTTGATTCTGATCCGTGTCTGTTACAATAACAAGTGCATCTTCATCATCATCGTCATCATTGTCTCCCATCCTTGATCTTCTTTCACCTCCTCCCATCATAACGTTGTTGTCGTTCAACACAATTTGTAGATCGTCTTCACTGTCGCTATCCCAATCATCTTGTCCTTCGTCGCCAATTGTTGTCGTAACGACTCGATCTATGGCTAAACCAGGAATCGCAGGTGCGTCTGGCTCTTCGATGTCGAAGTTCATGTCCTTATCGTCGCTGTCAGCGTTGAGATTCGAGGTCTGAGGGAGGGAGGGTGGAGATTTGGAGGCGGGGGTGGGGGAAACCCTAGGGAGGGGAGGTGGATTAGGTTCGGAATCGTCTTGATCTTGGGATTGGAGGTTGAGGTCGATTGAACGGAGAGGAGGCTGAGGAGGTTGGAAGACGTCGGAGTAGAGATCTCCGAACTCATCGTCTTCGTCCATTGGAGGCTGTGAAAGCACGAGAAAGTGAAGAAGAGAGACGGTGTGAAGCTTTAAGGGCTTCTTGTGAACAAGTCTCGTTTCGGCCTGCTTTCTATCATCGCTAGGGTCTTATTTATATTTTTCCCCAAACATCCAAAATAAATTTAGGATTAATTAAGATTTAGATTCTTTTTTTTTTTGGGGTTTAAAATTCAACAAATATTAAATTATTCTTTATTTGTTTCGGGTTAACATTCATCAGGAAATAAAAACAGCAGATTAATTTCCCGGAAAAGCGTAATTTCCCCTAGTAAAAGTTGAAAGATTCTTTGTTTTAGGTTTAAGATTTAGATTGCTCTGTTTAAGGCAATCTGTTTTAACGAGTGATGCAAAATGTGAACGTGTAGGTTCATATCGATTCCAAAAGACATGGCAACATTCAACTGCGGGGAGGTTGTTGCTGGCATAGTGAAGGTGATTGTTCCCTTAGTACATTCACAATATGATTTAGACATAAATGGAGAGAAGGATAACACAGCGTTTCCTACTGTGACAACGCCCTCGTACACTATCTTGATCAAGTTTGCGGATGAGGTTCATGCCTACATCCCTCTATTTCATTTTCTTTTCCTCTAGACGTATCTTGACAATTGTTTTACATCAATGATGCACAAGTGCTTAAACGATAGGCGCTGCTAAGCCAATGAGATCACTGAGTAGCCACGTTTTGGGAACTCTAGGCCTTATGTGAACTGTTTGGGCAAATCTGCCCGTCTTTTTTTAGTACCTTATATAATTGATGTAAACGACATACATACACCCTCTTGTTACAGTTCCAGCTAATGATACAACAATTACCTCCAAGTTTTAGTACAATGAATGCAAACATGGGCGAAATAAGAGTAAATAACGTGATATATCATCCAGAATTACAAAACCAAGTTTATTACAAACCAAAGCAGAACAAACAAACATGTCTTCAAACAAATCAATTCCTCCCCAGAGGCAATGATCTGCAAGAGTAAGTCTCCCTGAAATCAGACTTCTTCTTAGACGAAGTAAACAGAGAAGCATAAACTTCCTTAGTAGCATTAACGGGAACAGCATCCCCCGCCTTAAACTTCTTCACACTAACCCCATTCCCATTCACATTCACATTCACATTCCCATCATCCATCTGTCTCTTCACCACCTTCACACCTGCATCCACCACAGCAACACCGTTCTTTCCCTTCTTCGAGCCGCCTTTCTTCTCCCTCACCTTCGCCTTCTCTTCCTCCATCCTCTCCCTCAACAACTTCACCTCCTCCTCCGTCCCATTAATCACAATCTTATCACAATCCTTAACCTCCACATGACACACCAAACAACCCGAAGACTTCACTTCCTTCAACGCCTTCGCACTCATCACATGCCCACACCCCCTCAACGCGAAAAACTTATACTTCCCATTAAACTCAAGCCCCGAAACCGGACACTGAAACCGCGAACTCGTCGTATCTCCCAACACCCCATCATCACCCCCAGCCACATGCGTAAGCCTAATATTCACCATATCCTTCAAACCCTTAATGTAATTAAACTGCTTAGGCAACTTCTTGGTCAACAGAGCGTTGACCAAAGCCTCTTTATTAAACAAGTTCCCGAGTAGATCAACCACGCAAGGCTCAGCCAATGGCTCGTTCGATAAAGCGCAGTTCAGCCACTTTGATAGCCTCTGCTCGTTCGGATCCACCTTATCCGGCTTCTTCTCCGCGTACATCTTGAGGTAGCAATCGCGCGACTCTGCTCCCGTCGCGCCGCCGTCTCCTCCGCCTCCGAGGAGGCGAGGGTGGAGTGTGAGCGTGGAGACGGGAGGGAGGGTGGATAATTTGATCCGTGTGGAGACGTTGAGAGGTTTTCCATCGAGAGAGAGGGTGAAAGCGGAGAGCGAGATACGATGCGATGGTTCGAGTAAGGATGTGAGATTTGAGAGAGTTAGGATGGATTGTGTAGGATCTAACTGAAGAGCGATGGATTGTTGGTGGTGAGGAGATTTGACGAAGATCTGGCGACGGATTTGCATCGTGGCGGAGTAATTGGGAGATAGTTTTTAGGTTTCCGATCAATTGTGATTAGATTTTTTAGAGAGAGGAAGAAGATGCTAGAGACTAGATAGGAACTAAAACGACGGAGTATTATTATATATACGTGAACCGACTTAGTAAGGTAATGGGCCACTTTTAGTTTGGGCCTAAGGCCTGATATACAAAATTATAAACCCCTTGTGAGTCTGACTGGATTTGCACGATTTTACATTTATTACAAAATTAGGAACATTTTGATCATTCAAAGTGTTTACCTGACATGACAATAATATTTTTTGAAGAAAACAGAAACAATAAAACAAATGTAAAAATGGATTTGTATATAGATACGAATAAATCGTGAATTGGTTTGTAAGATTATTAACAACAACAGAAAAATATACAAAGAGGGCGGCCACGTATGACTTTTGTGAAGTAATATATTAGAGAGATTCGAAACTCATATCATAAATATCCTAAGATATACATAGAAGTAGTAATTAAATTAAATATAAACATATGATAATGAAACGGCCAGAAAAATTAAAAAAAAAGGTTTAAATAATAACAGAAAATAGGATAAAAATGCGTGAGAGGGAAGCAAAGAAAGGAGACAGAACAAGAAGAGATGGAAAATGGTAATGGAGAAGGAAAGGGAGAGTTCATAAACCAAAACAATAATGACTACTTCCTCGATTCAATGTCAATGCTCTCTTCCCTTCCTCCTTGTTGGGACTCTTCTCTTCCCCCTCCTCATCCTCCTCCTCCACCACAATCTCTCCTCCACGCTCTCACCGTCGACGCCACTTTCCCTGACCAGTTCCATCACCCTCAGGCAAACAAACTATCATCAAACACTATAATCCAAGAGTCTTTTTGATTCCTTACATGACATGTTTTTGTGTTGTTGTTTGTCAATGCAGGAGTCAGGTGGTCTAAGCCAAGATGGGTTGCAGGGACAAGGGACGGTCTCTACAACGAGCGCACCAGTGGCTCGTCAAAAGCCAAGGGTCAGGGCTAGAAGAGGCCAAGCAACAGATCCTCATAGCATCGCTGAGCGGGTAGATATCTCCATTATTCACTTACCTCCCGGTCTCTTCTATGTTATCTTGTGTTGATCTGATTGTATATGGTTTTTGTGCAGTTGAGAAGGGAACGTATTGCTGAGAGAATGAAGTCTCTTCAAGAACTTGTTCCCAACACCAACAAGGTACACAATACCTTCCTGTTTTATATAACAATTATTGTTTTGGTCTGCTTAATAACCGGATTGGTTGATGCAGACGGATAAAGCATCAATGCTGGACGAGATCATAGAGTACGTTAGGTTCCTTCAGCTTCAAGTCAAGGTACTAAGCGTGAGCAGATTGGGAGGTGCGAGGGCAGCTGGTCCAGGCAATGGTCTCACCTCCGAGCTTGGAGGACGTCTCAACGCCCTCTCTGGACCCAGCAATGGCACAAACGGAAACGGCACAGGATCATCCAATGAGAACTTAAGGTCAACAGAACAGAGAGTTGCAAAGCTGATGGAAGAAGACATGGGATCTGCAATGCAGTATCTACAAGGGAAGGGGCTTTGTTTAATGCCAATCTCTCTCGCAACTGCAATATCATCATCATCTACAACATCTAACCATTCTCGTGGAGCTCTCTTCAACCCTAGCTCGAATGTAGTAACGGCAGAGGAAGCAAATGCAGCCGTAGTAGCAGCAGCAGCTGCTGCAACTGCACCAGAAGCCTCCTCTACTATGGATGATGATGATGATGTATCTGCCTCCAAGGCATGAACCATAAAGTCAAACCCTAATATTTTACTTTTTTCACTAAGCATAAGTATTAATATAAACAATTTACAAGGACGACACTCGTATTGGTATTACCGTATACCTATACGTGTGTGGTTGTAAATTCAGAGAAGTGGTGGGACCGGAAACTAAGAGACATGCACCCCACTACTTTCCCAAATCGCTTTCTGTCAACGTTACTCTTGAAGTCATGTTCGAATGTAAACTGGAAGAAGTATAATAATATTCAAGTTGAAGCTTTCCCACTCTCTAGGAAATTATATTATATCCTAGGCTCAATTCATGAACCAACATGGATATTAGATGGATAACCAAGAATAAGACTTATCAATTAGAAGCCTAGGAATACATGTAGACCAGTGATTATCAAAACAACGTTTAATTTTAAGTAACTCTTTAACCATATAATAAGGTTATATACACAAGTAGATGCCAGAATATTGTATACTAAGGGTCCGACTGGTTTCCCCGCTACCACCCGCAAACGCAGCTTTTGCGGTTGATGGCGGTTGCTAGCGTTTTGCAACAATCACAAAAACCGCTACAAATCGCTTCAAACCGCTCTTAACCTCTTAAAATCAAAAGCTGGTTTCAACTAGCGTTTGCGTTTGCGGGC